GAGAACCACTTATTTGGCTTTGTTTTAAATTTGTTTCTTAAAATTGCATGGTGGTCTTTTTTGCAAGGTCCAACTGCTTTCCACCTCATGTCATTTGCTGATATATACTGGGATTAGCTTTGGAACAATTCAAGCCACTTTTCATTCTGACTTGACGCTAACCTTTAAACTCCCAAGATCTGATTGATAATTGTCTCTTCCAGCTGCAACACATGTTCTTCTAAAAAAGTTACTAGATCGATCAAAAGGTGCTAGATGAAGATAACAACTTCTACCTGATAAGTTTGAGTATTCTCATTACCTGTTTGCTGAATCGTGTATGGATATTATAGGGAGAACTTACATATTAATCACTTCTGAGAGATAAAGGGTTAACTCACTCTCAATAACTGTGTGAAAGTGTAGTGTGATCGTCCAGGTGAGTTTGCTGTTGGTGGTGGTGATTGACATTTTGACAACCTGTGCGGAAGTCGTCATCAGAGTCAAGTGAATAGTTGTTGTCAGTAGAAAGTTCTTAGTCCCGTTTGTGTAAAATGATTGGTCAGTTTTGCTGTTTTGTTATTGGCTCTAAGACTCAAGTGGTGTAAGTCACTATCAATGTATTGCAAACAATCATTTTTGTCATGCAATGCTGTGTTTTTTACATTGACTGCAGGTGTTTACCATGCCTGAATTTCTGCAAAAAAGGTTTCAGAGCCAGTGGGTCAGAACCTATCTCACTGTGGTGGCTCTGATTTCATATGTGTTCACAAAGTTTTCGGTGAGTATGACTCCGGGTGAATTGTTTCAGAAGAATACAATCATTCAAGCTTAATTTCTACCTCACCTCTGAATAGGGATAATTACCACATTCTCTGTAGATACATGTAACTCTAATCTCAAACAAAGCCTCGTTGGTGGAATATTGGGTCCAGATTATGTAAACACGACATGGCGGACAGGATGATGATGATAGAATGTGATATGTGTGTTTCATGCAGGGAATGTTTGTGTATTGCCTATATGCAGTGACTGGTGATGTCACCCTGTGATTCTGGAAGCAGTTTCCTATTGTACACTTGTATCTCCAAATTGAAAGCTGCTTAACCTAACGAATTTGCAACAACAAAAAAATCCATATCACAGAGTTTGGAGACCCTTAAAATAAGGAAAATGCTGAGAACCCCAATTCCGTCAGGCAAAAGGGTCTCAGTGGGGATGTTGAAATATTCTGAATCCTAATTGTAGACTTTGAATAAAATGCTATACTTCACCCTAAGTTGTGTTATGAATCAGTAATAATTGTTTTGTAGGTTGACATCTATGCAGGTAGTTTGTTCCTGTACGAAGCAATTGGCTGGAATATTTATATCTCTGCTGCTGTGACCTTGGCTATAACTGCTGTCTACACTGTCTTGGGTAAGCTAAAAACAGTTCCTAAAATAGTCCTATTATATTTAACCATTATTCCATGAGTGCACGTTGGATACAATATGATAGATAGCCAATAAGGCAAATAGTGCCGAGTTGGCCATAATCATCTCATATCCAACAAACGCAAGGGGAATGATTGTCTTAGTTTAAAAAAAAAAAAAAACCTCCCCTAGATATTAGACAAATCTTCTCGACTTTATTTTGTAAGAAGAAACGGGATGTTACAATGTACAGATATAAGATTATGGTATATTGGCTCATATGCCATAATGGCTGAGCCAATAAAAGGTCTTGAATTGCATTATCCAATGATCCAGTTTTTAATAATTACAAATATGGCTCATGCTGTGTGAGATGTGGTGGCAAGTTTTCTGGGCTGGTTGAGAGGTCAGGTTCGAGACCCTTAAACTCCCAGAAGTGATTAACATGTAACTTCTCCCCTTTAATATCCCTACATTATCTACCAAAACAGCTGATGAGAATATTCAAACATATTAGGTAGTTGTTACCTAGATCTAACACCAAATTCTAGCAACTTATTTACAAGAAAATGTGTGGCAGCTTAGAGGGGAGAATTAACTCTCAGATCTTTGGAGTTTAAGGGTTAGCTGTCAGGGTGGCTCTCTCCACTATAAGAAGTTAAATTGGGTCCTTGGTCCCAGTGAATGGTCAGGGACGCTGGATGAAATTCTGTGGGGTAACCCCCGGGATGGACTGACATCCCATCCAGGGTGGGGTGGGGAGTGATACTCCTTGTTACTTCATGCTAAGGAGACCTGGGGCCCATTTCTTGAAAGTCCTGGTAACTTAACAGGCCCGAAGCCATGTTTTAAAATCAAAATTTAAAGGATAGGAAAGCAGGTTCTGGCATCCAAACCAGTCCTTTTTGTTTCTTTAGCTGATAGATTTTGGGTATCATTTTCTAAACTTTTAAAATCCTCATCTTGAATGAAACTAGATCAGCTTTATGGGCCCATTCAAGTGACTAGGACTTTTGAGAAATGGGCCCCAGGCAAAACTCCAGTTGGGTGGGCTTGTGTACAGATGTTTTATCTTACGTGCAGCTTGTTACATATAAAAATTTCCTTGGTTCCTTAAACTGTTAAGTGGAACTAAAGTTAACTTGTTACTGACATTCTCGCTTTTGTCTGCAGGTGGTTTGACTGCTGTTATCTTCACAGATGTCCTCCAGTGTACCATCATGATTTTGGGTGCCATTGTACTGGCAATATTCAGTAAGAGCACATGATTATGTACCGGTATTTGTACTCGTGCATCTTCACTAACATGCATCTTAATTGGTTCATGATACAATTCTTATACAATTCAGCTCAGAAATGAGCTGCCCTTGAATTGCAACAAGAAAATGGGGCCTGAACTTGAAGATCACTGTCTTCTGACTTGACACTGAAGGCTAGAATATCTTTGCATGTTATTAAAGATTGCAGGTTTCTTCATGTAAACATGATTTCATGAACTTATGCATTCAGGAATATATATACCCCTAAAATTGCAAAGGAGATGATAGCTACAGTCATAACTATTTACACTGTAACATCAGTTTGCATATTCTCCATACTGTTCTCTGTACTTTTCCTAAAGTGCTGACCAGGAGAATCTGTAGCAAAGTTCCTCGTTAAGCTCGTTTCCAAAAACACAACACAAGCTCAATGTGGAATGTAAATCTGTCATCAGTAGATGCCATCTAATGGATTTAGGGAACCTTTCAATTTGTATATGATCCATTCTAGTGTCCTCTTTGACTGTATCACTATGATTCATGAGCAATTTAATCTGTCTAATACAGTGACAGGGTGAAAATTTTTTTGTGTGTCATAATGGCCACCAACTTTTTGGAATTGGCTACCACTTAAAAATATTTAGGAGCCAAGTGCATGGCTGCCTGAAAAAAAAAGTTAATTTTATGCCCTGTTTATTCTCTTGACCTTTACATTTGATTCAGGTGTGATATTGTAAAGAGGAATTAGTGACTAGATTCTAGACACTCAGAGGTTGTAACTAATTTACAAGGAAGTGCTTTGCAGCTAGAGAGGAAAATTAACAATCAGATCCTGGGAGTGAAAAGAGTAATAACATGTAGTGCTGATAGGGCTAATTGGTGCTGACTTTTTTGCTATAATTATGTTTTTAAGGCTTTGTAAAAGTTGGAGGATACAATGGTCTTTGGGAAAAGTTTGGAAGTGCCCACGGCGCTCCTTATGTTCCTACTGTTGCACCAGTGACTATGGCAGTCAATATGACAAATGCCTCAATGCTGGGAAATATGACTACTGCGATGCCGTCCACTGGACCAGACCTGACCGGCTGCTTCAAATTGACACCTTACTGGGGAAACATGTTCCGTCCAATAGACGACCCTGACTATCCATGGCTTGGGTTGTGGACTACTCTTCCTATTATGGGAGTGTGGTATTGGTGTACAGATCAGGTAAGTCAAGAAGGTAGTTTAGAGATTTTGCCAATGACAAGTAGGCCCCTTACTTGTTTTGCCTATCTAACAAGGTTACCTCCACTCAAACCAATCAATTTAACTCATAACTGGTAACACCTGTCTCGGCCGTGTGTCAAGAGGTCATTAACTGAGTTTAGTATTTACTGTTAGTCAGTTTTAGCTTTTGAAATGGATAGCCTGTCAGCAGACCACTGAACAACCAAACAAATACTATGCTTCGCAACATCTTGGCAACATTGACATAGGCCTGCCATACTGGAGTTGTAAATTCTAGCCCAGGCCTTTGGCAGATGTCATCTTCAACATGCTAAAATATGGCTGTTGCAAAATAAAAGGCAAGAGGCTTCCTTGTAGCTAGGGCCCCTATGGCTTAGGATACATGGGCCTTTGGTCATGTATTTTAGGTTTATGTTAAAAACTAACACAGCAACAGCTGTACAAAATTCTATTGAGAACCCAGCCCAATCTTTCATCTTGTTTCCCAGCAGCAGGAGAGATTCCTTCCCTATTGAAATCATTATTTGTTCTGATCAAATGCAAATCCTCAACAAATTGTAGCCAAATTGCACATATAGCTATGTTAACTCGATTACATGTATAGGGTGTATGTACCAGTACTTAAACACATGCTTGTTCATTTAAGAAGCATTAGCTTTCAAGGCAGCCTATATGTGTTGTGTTTACAGAGTTTTCGGGAGTGCCTCTAGGGGCAATAATATTACAGTTTCCCAAACAAGTCTCACTTCTCAAGTTTTGGACACAATTGATGAAAAGGGATACATGGGATTGCACTCCAACAAAGTCAAGAAGTCAGCTTGAACATGATGATATTCTTGTCTTATTTTTGTTTACTTCCAGGTGATCGTTCAGCGTACCCTTGGAGCAAAGAACAACATTCAAGCCAAGGCAGGTTCCATTTTTGCTGGGTTTTTGAAAATCCTGCCCATCTTCATCATGGTGATGCCGGGAATGATCAGCCGTGTCCTCTATCCTGACTCTATTGGTTGTGCCGATCCCGTCAGCTGTAAATTTCATTGTGATAATGAGTGGGGCTGCTCTAACAATGCCTATCCCAAGTAAGTTCGTACATGTAGTTGAGTCTTCACACTTTAAGTTAACTTTTCACATTCTCCACACTGCTATCCATTGATTTCTTCTGACTTCCTGATATGATACTGACAGAAAAATTGTAACTTCCTTAGGGCTCAAGACTAACAGTAGCCAACTATAGCCACAGACCGGTAGAAATTAAGTTTTGGTTAGTGGTTTTCGATTTCCACTAGCCAGTTTGGCTAGTTATAAACTGAAATTGTCCTAACATCTAAGTTGTCAGTAGTCACTTGGCTAGTTAATTGAATAGTTAGTGTGGAGCCCTGCTTCCTTGCACAGGTGTATGAAAAGGTTACTAGTCTTGGTAGCTCAGCAGAGGGCTGGCATGTATTCACGGCATCCTCTCATCAATACACAATTTGCTTTTGTTTTTCATCATAGACTGGTTCTGAATGTTCTCCCCACTGGATTGGTGGGCCTGATGATGGCTGTGATGATGGCAGCACTGATGTCTTCTCTTTCCTCTGCTTTTAACAGCAGTGCCACCATCTTTACTGTTGATGTGTGGCTCCGCTTCAGGCCCAGGGTAGGCAAATGTTGAGGTTTCTGGAAAAAATACAAACGGCAGCAGAATAGAGTAATGTAATTCTAAAGTATTCAACGCAGCTAAATGAAAAGTAGCTGAGTTCTGGTGCAATGGGTGGAGAATTATCTGATCCTAGATATCCAACAAGTGCCCTCAACTCTTACAGTGGTTTTAATTATGATCGATGACCTTTCAAAAGGTCTCTTAATTTGTCCCTCCAGCTAAATTAAATGAATGTATAGGAACTGCCCTAATATCTAATTGTTAATTCTCCTATCTAGCTATTACAAATTTTCTTGTGAATCAGTAAGACAAGAATTTGGTGCTAGATCAAGATGACAATTTCTACATGATTAGTTTTAGTATTCTCATTACCTGTTTGCAGGATAATGTTCAAATGAATGTATTGCACTTTGTGTGATTCTACATAGACCTGAAACCTTAGTTACATTATTCAAACTTTACAACTGTAGAGATCCTTAAATTTCGTAAAGAGGCTGTTTTCTTTTGGCAGTATTAGCTTAGCAAATGCTTTCCCATCTTAAAGTATTTATAATTTGCAATTCTTTGTTTTTCATGCCGCAGGCCACAGAAAGAGAAAAAGTCATTGTTGGCCGGGTGGTTGTTGCTCTCCTTGTTGTTGTTAGCATATGTTGGTTGCCAATCATTCAAGGTAATTTATTATTATTATTATTATTATTATTATTTATTATTATTATTATTATTATTTATTATTATTATTTATTATTATTATTCTAATTTATTATTATTATTATAATTTATTATTATTATTATTATTATTATTATTATTTATTATTATTATTATTTATTATTATTATTAGCTCATTATTATTATGATGCAGTTTATTGAACTTTAGCATGCCAGGAAAAGAAAGTTTCATAGGGCGCACAGCGTAACCTGTGAAACTACACATCGTTGCACTTATAAAAAATATAAAAACCTACTTGCTAGCATGGAAAATTATTTAAGATACAACCAATACTGATATACCATCGCTAATTTACAATCTATTCTTAATATACATAACAACTAATATTATTATTATTATTATTATTATAATTATTATCATTATTATCGTCACCAGGGACATATCATATGAATTTGATACGACAGTACGGGCATGAATGAGTTTTCAGACTTCAACAAACCCTTCAAGGGCCACAAAGCTGGCTCCAAGTAAATTCTACTACCCATACATAGAGCTTAGACAGCTGAGCTATCCTTCTTGTGAATTTTTCTTCAGTGATGCTCATCTGTTAGGGGACTACAGCTGTGGATGGCAATTATGTTATTTTCAGTTATTCTCTCTTTTGGAGAGGTCTTCTTTCGTGTGGAGGGAACTGATACAATTCGTGTGGAGGGACCTGATACAATTTGTATTGAAATAAATTACATTACATGGAAATGTGCCTTGCTTCCAAGTAATGGCTTTGTTGGTAGTAGTGCCCGTCTGATACCAAGGATGAATGAGTTTCAATTCTGTCAAAGCCTGAATTTTTTAGGCTGCTTTTCTGCAAATGCTAAAATTGAAGCTCGCATGTAAGGATTATGGCTGAATTCTTTGATTTTCAATGTACAGTTCAAATGAAAATTTATTTCATTGTAAATTATATCAGGTATTCATGTACATGTGAATCATTTTACTCCTGAAAAAAATTACTTTCATTTTGTAATCATTTTATAACTGTGAGGTCCCAATAGATAATTAACCTTGTGGTATCAGTTTGTTTGTCCACATGGCTATGAGAACATCATCAAAAGAAACAGGTTACCAAGACAAATTCTTTATTTTTGTTTTGTTTATAGGTGCTGCAGGCAAACAGCTCTTTGTTTACATTCAGACAATCCAGTCCTACCTTGCCCCACCAATCACTATGGTGTTTGGGTTGGGTATCCTGTGGACAGGGCTGACAGCAGTGGGAGCCCTGTCAGGGTTGGTAATAGGTTTCATAATGGGAATGGCCAAGTTTATTGCTGGTAATGTTTGGTCAGATCCCAAGTGTGGTGAAGAAGATACTCGCCCTGGATTTGCCAAAATGCATTTTATGTTTTATGGTGAGTAAATTTTACTGTAATGGCTAAACTACAGAATACCCGGCCAGCTCATTTACATGTCATTAAATAAGAATAGCGTCTATTGTGTTTTGTCTCGTTCTTCAAAGCCTCCAACACATGTAAATGAGGTGGACGGGTATTCTGAAGTTGCTCCAAAATAATTTTGAAAATGAAAATAATAATTTAAAATTATACAGTCAAGAAAACTATCAGCTAAAGGAACAAAATGGACTTAATCTGCTTCGCTTTTCTTTAAATTTTGATTGTAAAGTATGGCTTCAGGCCAGACTTTCAACTGGATAAATCACCCCTAGGTGGATAGCACAGTACATTTATCCAATTTTACATTTGTACATATATCCTCTAGATAGCGATTCATCCATTTGATAGCGATTTTTCTATTGGATAGCATTGCCTATTTTTCCCTTCCAACAATGGAGACCTGAAGTAAGATGGCCAGTTGAGGGGAAACAAGGGGTGGGTTTGATTTAGTAGTTACACTTTGGGATTTCTCAAAGTTGGAACCATTTTGTACGGCAAAATGAATCGTAGGTTAGATTATGTTCGGAAGCGAAATCAAAAATGTCTTTAAACAGCGGGCGCGTTTGCTCAAGTGAAAAACGTTGAAAACGGTAACACGGTTAACTCAGAAAAAAACACCAACAAACTCGAAAATTGCTAATCGCGCGTCACGCAAGTTCGATAACAGTCTTCTTAACATTTCACTTCTCGCCACCCTTTTTTCAATGGCTACACCCATGAGGGCTATAAGGGCTGCTTGACTCTCTTTGTTCAGGGTGATGTTCCTGTTTTATAGAAAATCATTAAAAAACCAAAAATGTATTATAGCTTTCTTTCATTTTTCCAGCCATCATTATTTTTGGAGTGAGCGGCTTTATCATGGTTGTGGTGAGTTTGTTCACGAAGAAGATCCCCAGAGACGAGCTTGGTGGTCTGACTTGGCCAACCATTAATGAGCCTCCCATTTCATTTGGATCCATTGGCGAAGCAGATGAAGCTGAGAAGATGGAAAATGGTGGTTTGGCCAGTACCGAAAAAGTCGAGCTTTTGGAAAAGAACGGTAAGGTTTCACTGTTGGTGGAGGTTGTTTTTGTGGGGATCAATTGGTCGTAGCAGTGGTTTCATTACTTTATTTCATTTCATGAACATATATCTTTTTACCCCTTAAATGTCCATGACTGATTAAAACAATTGAAAAAAAAAAAAAACACCAATACATTTTCAAGATGACAAGTGAAAATTATCAGAAGGCGAATATTACTAAATCCAATAACAAATTCTCGTAACTTCCCTCGGTAAGAATTGTAGGACAGTAAGAGAGTAAGGAGATTTAGCAGTGAGATATTAGGAGCGAAAGGCTTCAAATTCTGCGCCATTATTAAATTTTAGGCCAACTAAGCCCAACAACTCGTGTGGAAACTTCTTTCGATGCTGGAGGAGAAGTTACCAAAGTAGAGGAAAAGAATGCCGTACCCAAGCCAAATGTGAATGGTGAGTCTGTGGCACTGGAAACAGCAACAGGCGAGAAAATCAAACTGAGTGTGGTCCAGTTTGCCGAGGAAGATCCCGTTCTGAAGTGGTTTTTACGAATCATGACTGTCCTGTTACTAGTTTGTTTGGTTTTCCTGTGGGTGTACTATCGCTAAGCGACATGTACAGTATCATTTGTTGATCCTAACATGTCGTGTAATGTGAAGATTTACCTCTAGGTGCGTTGTTAGTTTATGACCAGATCAACAGGTTGTTGTATACCATGTATATCTTCGTATAATCTCATGCTAGGCTTTAAGTAACTATATATATATATATACATACTCGAGGGTCAAAAAATCGACCAGAAATATTTTAATGTATGTAGAAGAAGAGGTGTAATGGTTATTGTGTTGTCTTTTTGGTGGAGGAAAGATGCATTTATGACAATGCATTCGTTTAATAATTTCGTAGCATAGACGATTTTGCCTTAAATGCAGTAAGGGTATAGTCTTGGAGATTTTCAAAACTAACCGGGAGGTGACGCGATTGAACTGGAAATCCAAAACCAGTTGCAACGACAATCATTGTAGTTCTCATCTTCATTACAAACAACAACAACAGCAGCACCTTTATTAACTGAAATGACAACAGTAATCAACAGAAATCGAGAAAGTTTTATCTTCTTTTTGGAATTAGTTATGGTAGTAGGTTGATCGAGGATCTATGATAGTGAACCTGTGTGACTCATTTTATCCTACTTAAAATTGTTTTTTGGAATTTCACCTCCATTTTATTTGTATTCATTACTGTGAGGCTAGAGGGAGTATCGGACCGTTTGAATCAGGTCTTCATACTCTTGTGTGACACGTTTGGAAGTTACAGTCCTCGTGTGAAAGTTTTAAAATCTTTCTTGCTTTATCTTCCCTACTTCTACGGTTGAAGACTTTATCCTTTCACAGGAGAAAAACAAACTAGAATTTTTGATTCAATACGGTTTGACAGATGGGTTTACGAGTGCAAAATTAAGAAGATCTCGTGTAAGCAAGATTTCGCCTCGAGGCAAGAGTTTGCATAGCTCATTTAATTTGTAATCTTAGGTCATGTTAAAAAACTTAGGTAGGTTCTGAACCATTTTATATAAAAGAGACAGATAGTCTCCTTTCACTCCGTCCTTGGCACAAGTTTTCTCATTTACCCGCCCATTTCGCTGACAGCAAGCTTTCCCGCGCTTTTATGTGTCCTGTTAGAGCTGTTTTCGCGCCCTTTGCATCTAACAAATTTTTCCACTCCAGGCAACGGTTACCAATATTTTCCCGTCTTCGGCATCGGCTGCCAAGTTTCCCGCCCTTGGCACCGGCTTCCACTTTTCCTTAATGGGCACCGGTGATAATTTTTACGGGATTGATCAAGTGGTATTGTAGTCTTGAAGTAATTTTTCCTTTGTTGTTGTAGTTTGAAAGAACATATTCGCAAGAAACGAACAAAAACATTTGAAAAGAAATATTTTTTTCATCGCAGAGAGGTGATTGTAGGAGTGAAAGGGTTCCTCCTTTTTCTTTTTTTTTTTTTTTTCTTTTTTCTTTTTTTTCCTTCGAGTCTGTTGGATTTTATTTATTTAAGGATTTTTTTAAGTAAAGTATTTGGATTAGAAAAAAAAGGGGAAATATCTATGATAAAATAATTAGGAGAAGATTGCTTATGTGATAGGTTTAGATAATTTAATTATTTAAGTTAAACCCAAGGAATGCATTAACTTCGGTGTCGACGAGAAACGTTTTGTGACCCATCACAAATTCGATGACACTGATTTCTGGTCATTTACTTCTGTAACATGTGATGGAAAAGTGAGGGTGACTTGTTGAACAAGTAATGATTTACATCTGCGGCTAATCAAATTGTACGGTTGCCTTGGAGTCGGTTAATGGGCTATGTCGTTAGAGCTTTGTGAGCGTTTGGAAAATTGACCCAAAATTTTTGAAGTGATCTCGTTTTTTTTTTTTAAGCAATCTTCTCACTGAACACACTTTTCCCTTTGCTTGGAGCTAGCAAAACAACGGGAAAAAAAAACCCTTGCTAAGGGATAAAACCACAGCATTTACTTGTACGCGTAAAATGCGCATTTAGAACATAGGCATAGCTCATTGATAAGGATTCCTTCGCACTTGAGGGAAAGTGTTAGAGCTGTCTGAGACAGTGTGTTTGAATGGTGACAATAATTAAGATATTGGTATAATATTTCTGTAGAATGAACAGAATCGTACTATGATTACGGAGCAAAACTCGTAGAAGGCTTTTAGCAAGTAGTCATATCAGATATATATATTTAAGATAAACATAATGTTTAGCTCTAGGAATTTTCACCTATTTCAAACTCGGGTTAAGCTTGAGCTATCAGAAGTTTTATGAGTAAACTATGGGCCAATTCTACATACATTTAAGCCTTGATTATTACTCGATTATCGTCAGTTTACCAGTAAGTCAGAACTAGGACAAAGCAGCTTTCTGAAACAGAAATGAGAAGTAAAGGGTAGGGGAGGGGTGGGTGAGGTATGATGGGTCACTCCATTTCTTATCCGGCGCAAACAAGCCTTGACCACTCACCATTATAGACTTCCCCGTGCAAACGGGACTACTAACTAGGTAGGAGTGCCAGTAGACAGTTGATTAAAGCTCAGTGTACAAGTTATTGACCTGTCTTTAGTGATTTTTAATGGTAGTTCTCATTGTCTCTGATTTCCGCCAGTCAATTTATTCTATCTCTCGTTAAACTTTTATCTTTTGCCACCTTGGTGAGACCGTGGGAAAGAAAGTGCTTTGTTTTTTTTAAATCGTCAAGAATTGTTTTAAATTTTCACGAGGTATCTCTCGTTAACGTTGCTGGCAGTTGTGATTTTCTGAGCTGCTATATTTGAATTCTGTTCAAGTTTCCGCCCGACGCATATTTCGCGAAACACTATCGGAAGCTCCACTTTTACGACATCTGTTGAAACAATTTTCAGTTTCCACCCGTGAGAGATAAAGCCGATTTAAGGTCGGTCAAGTGGTCCCCTATGGGAGATTTAAAAAACAATCGAAATTGTAAACAAGCATCTCTAAAAGCGATCGTTTACGAGAGGTGGTCGCATACGAAAGATTCCATTTATAGCGATTGGACTCAAACTTTTGATATTTTGTGATAGTCTAACGAGAGGTCGTCGCAAAGGGCGGTTCGACTGTATCTTTGATACAGCTGAACTTATATCTGAATACTTTTTACAGTTGTTACGCTGTCAAATGTCGGGGGGGAAATAGCCATCGTGCACACCACTCTCGGCGAAAGGTACCAAGACTTTCGGTTCTCCAGAACACAATTCTACTTGCATGCAAGGTTACTTTATTCTGTGTGACTGGTTAATTTCTCCCACACTTTAATTCTCGTGGAATACGTGTCGTATACTTTTCATTGACTGTGCTACGAACACTCACTTCCGACTACGGAATTATGACTGTCTACAATCTTCTGGTCAACCCAACCCTCCTCTGAGTAAACTCAGTAAACTCCAAAGGACATGCCTGTGTATTCATTATTGATAGATATGGGTGGGCATGCCAGCGGGCTGACCTTGGGAGATTAAACATTTGTTGTTAGAGCACTAAACTAAACAATTTCACGAGACTTTCGAAACGAACAACAAGTAATTAATCATGACACTGCTTCCAATCGATCAACATACATTATCAACCTTTGACTGCCTCAGCCAAAAGAAGAACTTTCGTGTGAGTCTAAAGCAAGGTCAGTAAACAAACTAAGCACATCTACTGAGAAGACAATTCATCACACGAGCTTTAGATTTTGAAAAAGAGCTGTGTAAACTATGTCAATGAACGTGGAAATCAGACAAGACAGTCGCAATTCGGAAACTCATCACGAAAGCCAATCCTAAATAACTTAGGAACTCGAATTTAAACTGTAACAACATTCTAATGAAAAACGAATGACTAAATCATACTGAAATGACAACTAACTGACCAACTTAACTAGCTAAATAATTCGTAAAAGTTATTACAGTCACAGGCCGAAAGCTAACTGTGGAAGGCCACCCGTTTAATCAAATCAACTCTATAGTAGAGAATACCTAAGGCCCACGGCTTGGGTTAAACCGTGGTTTGGGTAAGACATCCCTAACTAATCGGCCTTAAGAATCTGGGCTCCATTTCCCATCTCCGCCTGATTTCGGCCCTTCTGTCTTGTTAAAGAGTGAAATATTCTTCATCATCATCATCATCATCATCATCATAGTTTATTTAATAAAGCAGGTTGAGGGATAGGCAAGACATTACGTCCTGATGTGGACCTGCATCAACTAAACTATCAATTAATAAATACCTAATTAGTGAATAGACCGAAAATGGTATGTAAATAATGACAATTAAAGGAAATAAATATTAATCTGACCACCGTTTCCAACTGTTTCCAGTGAATCAGAAGGTTATTGGATTTGTGTTATGATTTAGGATGTAGTACATGCTGTGGGGTTTCAGTTCCTTTGCGTGATTTTGGATCTGGAGCGGGGGTCTGGGGTGACCGTCCTTATAACTCGATTTTTCGCGGAAAAGAAGGAACTCATTAAAATTCAACTTTGCTTGCATAAATAATTTTGCAGACGACCGAAACGTAATTATAAGCGGGCAAACACATCGTAACAACTATAGTTTCGTCTTTACCTTAGGGGTGCCTGCGACCATAGACCCATAGCAAAAGTATAGCGGATCAGACAACATGGAAAGAGCGGAGGTTGATATTTTTCATCTCAATCGTCTACAATCTTTTAACGACGCTGTTTTCGCCATAGTTGCCACCATCTTAGTTCTGCCGGTGCGAAAACTCGAAGAAGCAGGGGCCTTGGAACACGTCAGCTTGGAAGAACAACTCGAACATAAATGGCCTCAGCTTGTGATCTACATTGTTGGTTTTCTCATGATCTGCGCTGTATGGGAGTCCCATGTCCTTCGCTTCCGAATCCTGTCACGGGTGGATGATTTCTTGATTTGGTTTAACCTTACTTCGCTCCTCTTCACATCGTGCCTTCCGTTTACATGTGCTTTAGAAGGAACGTTCACAAGCAAGGGAGCACCTATGGCGTTGGTATGCGGAAATCTCATTATTTTGGAAATCTTGGAGGTGATCATGATAGTGTATGCTTTCCGCCAGCCACGTTTGCTGGACCAAGAGTTCGACACTCTCACCCGAGATGAAATGAAGCAAAGAATGAAGATTATGCTCGTGAAGAAAGTCGTCATAGCAAGCCTTTACTTGTTAGCTGGTCTCCTCAGCTTTGCACAGAAGCCCCTGGCGCTTGTAATAGCAGCTTTTGTCGCTGTGTCCCCTTGGATCAATCGTCTTGTCGGTATCGCTTATCGCAAATGGTCGCGTATTACTCTGACTGACTCGGAATTCGATCGCATGTTCGGAAATTTCATCGACAAGGAGAGAGTGGAGTTCTTTAGTGACGGAGTATTCGCGATCGTGTCTACGTTGCTGATTCTGGATGTTACAGTCGAAGATTTCCCGACGGAAGCCGAAGTAAACAACCATGGTTTTCAGTATACGTTGCAAAGCGTAAAGCCGGACATTTCCACGTATGCAGTCACATTTATAGTTGTCGCTCTTTTATGGTTCACGCACCATTCGCTCTTCAGCTACATCCAGACTTTGAACCAAATAATGCTGGTTATTAACAATTTCTCTTTGGCCTTTCTTGGGCTTTTTCCCCTGATCAACGCTACACTGGATCGTTATGCCGGGAGCGGCAAGCCAGATAGTCGCCTCGCTCTCCAAGCGGCTGCTTTAATCGTCTTCATGGCCGGCATATCCCAAGGAATAGTGTTTATAATCGCAATAAGTAAAGGTCCGACTCAACAGGAATTGCAAGAAAATCCGCGGGAGGATCCTCGTTCGGGGTGTACGGCACACTCGTACCTCGCCTTCAAGCTGGCAACTATTCCTCTGATGACCTTACTGGTGTATTTTTGGGCAACATTTGGCCCTAACACATCCTTTTCAGTCGATGTTTATTACATAGCTGGTGGATTAACCCCTGTTCTTTTCATTTTGTTAAAGCTCGCGTTGTCATGTTGCCAAAGGGTTCACTATCACCGCTCATTGGATATTCGGGCAGAAAACTGGACATTGGTGACTCATGAAAACGAATCGGATGACTTGCCTAGATTGGTTTAGAGCCTTAAACAGAAGCCTGCAAGAAAGTCTCTTATTCGAAAATTGCATGATAGTAGGTGATTACTTCCGTTGTGATCTCATCCGTGACCTGTCACGCGTTATCACTCTGTTCTGGCGTGACTCACCACGCGTGATTTATTTTCAGTTTAGTTATAAAATTACTTTTGGAATTGATCTGCCGACTACAAAGATTAACTTAACTTTCTAGAATTGTCGTTATCTATGTTCAACATTGACTTTGGATACCGCCATTTTGAATCTTGCCCAGCAGCCTGGCCGCGCCGCTGACGAAAGCTAGTCTCTCTCTTTCTTTCTACGAGGACACGATACTCTGTTTTAACAATTAGGAGCTACACAAAAAGGCATTCTCGACCGAAATTAATATTTTCCTTCCAGCGATAACCAGGGAAGTAGTTGTTACTGAGAACAGTCCGTTGAAGGTGTCGTCGGAAACCGTAGACTTAACAATTGGTTCATGCTTTAGCGTGCACTATCGAGTTATGGAGCACGCGGGAAGTTTCGAGAGCACGAAAGAAGCGTACGAGTTGCCCGAGGCGATAGCCGAGGGCAACTCTAGCTTCTTGAGTGCTCTCCAAACTTCCCACGTGCTCCATAACTCGATAGTGCACAGCTGAAAGCATGAACCAATTGTTTTAGAACATAGCCGGTGGAATTGTGCATCAAATGCGACGCGAAAAACGGACAACAATATCAGTTGAAGCGAATCGTGACGGCGCTGATGCCGAGTCTCCTTTTCCTTTGTTTTTCTCTTTTTCTGCCTCATTTAAGAACTCTAGCCCATGGGAAAAGGTCGAAACATTGTCTTCGTTTTCGGACTAGCAGGCCGAGTTTCTGTTTGTATCCATTATTGTCGCGAAATGTATTATTTTTCCCCGCACTAGCAATAGTCGCTCGCGCGAAAAAAAAAATTCTGGCGAAGTCGGATTTGCTGACGCTATCAGCGTGCACTATCGGGATTTTGAGCACGCTTACGAATAATGAATTTGATTGCGCGACTCTGCTAGTTATGTTCTAAAATAGTTTAGTTGTCGTTCAATTACACTAAGGAACAGGAAACGCATGAATAAGAGGCCGAAAACTCGTGGCTAGGATCTTTGTCCTGTTAACGAAAAAAGGTTCTCTTAAAGTTGAGCTTTTACTTGTACATGTGATTGCAGGGAAACGTTATTTCTGGATTATTAAAGAGGTGATTTATTAGGATACGTGTTTTGTTGCGTTTTCGACAGTGTTTGCTTACTGGTGTGGTACCCAGACCTTTCACTTTCACATTGCACGGTAGGACCTGGGTATGAGACGATTTTATTACCCCGTCAAGTCCCAAGAACTGATTGCTATTCTCCCCTTTAGCTCCCACACATTTTCTTGTAAATTTGTCAGGAGAGCTTGATGCTAGATCAAGAAAACTTTAACCTGATATGTCTGAGTATGCTCCATACCTGTTTGCTTGATAATGTATGGAATAGGCAACCTCGTTCCCAGGGCCTTTTCCCTTAGTTGGGGGAGAGAAAAGGCGCTGGGAACGAGGTTGATTTTATAGGGAGAAGTTACATATTAATTTTCTAGGAGTTATGGGATTAATACAGATCGCCTTACCCCATTCGATTCTCGATAAGCTAACTATTATAGAATGCTTGATCACTAGTTCAATGCAATTCTCTCATAGAAAAAAATATATATATAATCGAAACGCCTGGGCACACAGAGAACTTTAAGTCAAAGGCGCGCTGCTCGAAAAATTTACCCCATGTAAGCCTAGTCGCAGCATTACATTTCAATCATTTTCAACATTTTTCCTTGAAATTTTTTTGACAATAAAATATATTTTTTGACCACATGGCCATCCTCCTTTAGTGGTACTTTTATCTGGGTTTTTGCATTTAGAATAAAAATTTTTTGTTGTTTCTTAAATTCGTAAACCCTATCAGTAGGGTTACTACTGATTGATAAAGGATTAATAAATTAATAAATTAATAAATGATTGATAAACGAGCCAACTGGTCTTGTTAACAGAATCACTACTGGCTTTGTTTTTGGTTATTGATAGGCAATATTATGTAGAGAATACATAACCGGAAAGAGGATTTTCATAATATTTAAGGCGAACGGTGTCAGTCGCTGCAATTTTTTTTTAGTTTTTTTTTTTTTTTTTTTTCAAAGAAGCTTGACTTTGATTTTGTCTTTTCTATCAATACAGCTGAACATTTTTTTTACTTTTTTTGACAGGCACAACAATAGCTGGCCGGTTCATCTGCTCAACTGAACTTTCTACCAATCTGGGAATCATGAACACTATGTATTATCGTCTTATTTTTCTGTCCAGTCACCGCTCCGTTGAAGGTATCGGCCTAAGAGAATACTTTACAAAATCAGGAAAACTTTTAAACATAATTTTTTCAAACACTTTAACGTGCAAATCATTTTTTCAGCTCTCGATGAAAACCGAAGCAGGCGTGTAATTTATATAAACAGCTCATTTAGCCAACAATAATGGCTTAGACCCACTTTTAATATCAATTGATCAACTGTATTTCAAAATGAGATGCAAGACGTCAAATAATGCCGATGAATATTTGAGAAGGAAGTCAAATTTGAAATAAAACTTTATTAAAAAAAGAAAAACAAAAAACAAAACAAAAACAAAAAAAAACATGGACTCACTGGGCCAGCTCTACTGAAAAGAAAAGCGTTGAGTTAAAAATTGTATTGTTGTCAGAACAATTTCGACCGCATTGGGAAAATGGAATTTCTAAAAATTCATTTATAATTTATAATGAAAAACTCAAACAAGACAGGTAAAGTATAGATACCCCGCGGGGCAATTTCAAGTTTATAACAATCAGAAAATTTATCGCTATTGTTAAATTCGCGCTGCGAAATTAATTGTCCCTTTGTCTCCATGACGACTGCGGCAGCTGATGGCTTTCTTAATACGAAAAGGAAAAATTCCCTTGTGTTGTAAATCACAACTAGCTTTAAAAGGATCAAGGCACGGGATATTGCAAGGATAGTTTAACAAATGGAAAACTCGATCTTCGACCCCGGGTCGCTATGTTCAAGCCCAATATTATATGGAGACGGCGAAGATTTTCTGGAACAGCCTGTAAATACGTTCTTCGATGAGGATATAAATTTCGATTTCATTGACGCTTTTGAAGACGGCTTCTCGATACCTGGGGATACAAGTGGAATATGGAAGGGAGATAGCAGTTTTAAAAAAGATTGGCATTTTTCAGTAGAAACGCCAACTTTGTCGTTTTTGCAGCCAAATGGCGAAGGTCTTGAGGGAAGGTCATATGACCAGGCTCAGAATACGTTCTCGGGTGATGGAGTTGTAAACGAGGAGAATCAAGTGTATTCTAAAGAAAACAGTATTAAGCGTTGTACACTTACTTCCGAATATACAAATACCCGCGCAAATGAAGATAAAGCGAACGATGAGGACACAGACTTAAGGACTTTGTCCAAAAATGCAAAAGAATTGTCTAAACATGTCATATCACAAAGCCAAACGGAACTGGCTGACAGAATGACTTTGTCAAAGAGTGGTCTCGATAAAAGTCACGTTACAACAAACAGCAAAGCTGATATTCTCTCGAATACCACAGAAACCGTTTCAAGGGAGGATTTCAAACAAAACTACGAGGGGAACACTTACATTAGAAGCAATTTTAATGAAAAACCAGCACTCAATGAAGGGAAATTATTATCGCGCGGGAGCGACGACACAATGAACACAACCGGTGGAACCAAGTGTAAAAAGCCATACACAAAAGATTTCAAGAAATTGGACGATGCTTCTTTTGGACTGAAACATTCGGGCTTAAAACGATGCGTAGTTCCCAAGACTTTTTATTCACCGTTTTGGACACAGGATAAGAGCACACCCAAACACGACAAATCGTTGGAAGATCTTTTGATAAACACACAACGTAATGTGGATACATTGTATTGTTGTAATTGCAAATCGCAAAAGCCGTTTTCCAGATTCGATGCATCGAAGCCTCCAAGTTCGACGATCAACACTCACAGGGATCGCGACAATTACATTGATTTTCTTAAACGGAATTCAACACTCGAGCCGCAACGAAACTGCCATAAAAAAGCTCATAACAAGACTATTAATGGAGAAGCGTCGGGAAAGATGGCTTTTAATGATGTACGCAATGAAGAAAAGTGGATTTTGCCACCAATTTACACATCAAAGACACTTCGACAAAAACCTGTCAGAAACAGAGCGTCCAAATCTCTTTATTTGAATACACTTTCGACGGCATCTATAGAAGGATTGATTGATAAATACAAAGGGGAACATTTAGATCTCGTCGATCTGCAGAAAAGATATCACCTTAAGCCTTTTACGTAGATAACAGTAAAAGAAATGGTACTAGAAACGGGTGCAATATCAATTTCAATGCGGCTCAATAATTAATTATAGCGTTGTCAACAAATTAGCGAGTACTTTCAGACGCTTACTATACATTTTTCTTTTCGAATTGTATGCCTAAGTAATTGCAGTCATTTGAAGATAGAACACTGGCATTCTGTAATAGGAGTGCTACTAGGTACTTTTCTTATTAATAATAGTCCTACGCCAAGAGACTTCAATGACCAGCTATCCGGTCTTCTAGGGTTTGGATTGTATTTGGTTTAATCACCTGATTTGATGATGTAAAGTCATTCGCTGACGAGGGGCTGTCGCTCGAAACGTCTGCCTTTGAAACTCTTTATGGTGGCAATTTACATTATCAACCCGGTTGATAAAAGCAAATTATCTTGCATATAGTACCTCCACAGTTTCTTTAGCTGTGAGCGATGCATGTGGAATCAAGAAATTTTTTATTTTTTGTCTTTGTCACTAAATATAATGCCGGCTATCTAAGCAAAATTTAGCTGTTGATTAACACAACCGCGTAAGCAAAGCCGTCTTCCTAAGTTAGTTCAAGCTATTTTTCTGATCACTTATGTTTTTGAACAGTGTCAAGAGGGCCGAGAGCTTACAGTAAAAGTACGTTTATTTGATTTAATCAACCCTCTTAAAGAGAGTCTTTAAGGCCAATGCCAGTGTAAAACTGCGATTTGAGTTGGACCTCGTATTAATACACAGCCCTTTAATTATCCGCGATGAAATGGCCTTGTGCCAAATGTATATGCCCTCTAGCTATACAGGAAATATTTATTGGAAATAAACAATTAAATCTAAGGTGCTAAATCAGAACAGGTACTTTATTATTTTGCTAACGAGACCATGCTAAAATACCTCTGTTTTGCTTTGTGGCCTGGCCCGCCCCGCTTACCTTTCCGGTTTCGTAAATCTCTGGTGTGAATTGCCCATTGTTGAAGGTCTCAATAAGGGTGGCAAAGCGGGGGGGGGGGGAGGTATGATCCCGTTTCACGCACAAATTTTAACAAAATTCACGCGTCACGCACAGTTTGAATAAAATTTCACGAATCACGAAATTCAACATAAATCAATCGAAACTCTTACCTTATCTGCTGTCATTAACATAAAGGAGCCAAGAGACCATATTCATATGCCCAGAAAGATGCTGTGGTTCACGATTCATCACAGCAAATACTGCAATAATAAAATGTTTGTTGCACGATGTAGTCAATTGAGATGTAGATCGCATTGTTTCAGCTGCTTCCAGTGTTTATCAGGCGATGAGTTCAACCAGTTACTTTGTGCGACACCATTTGCTGTATATTACAGTGGTATTGTAGTAAAGTGAACCTGGTCCAAAAGCGAATAGTGACCAGGTTTGATGTGTCGTAAACTGATTTAATTTGAACAACAAACTCTCTCGCTTACAAAGATTATTGATGACTGAAGATCAGTAGTCTTGACTGCTAACAATTTTTTCTCTCGTGGTAATGTGAAACTACTTCCGTTGTAGTACACAGTAGGCGGCACGCCTTGAAACATGCCAATCTTAATAACGTGTTCTTCTATTTCTTGACGACGTTGTACAAATCACGACAGGTGGACGTGCGGATAAAATCCTAAAACCGGCGACCGAAATCACAGACACAAAAGTGTAGCAGCTGAGGATCGTTCAAAAAGGTATTGGTCTATTGGCACGAAGCTAGAGCTCAATGTGACAAAGAAATAACTCTGCCAGACCGAGTACGTAATAAAAAGTTGATCGCATTGAGGTCGAGGGAGTCTTCTCTTTGATCTTCTGCTGATTCTCTTTCTTCCTCTTCAGAGTCAGAGTCATATTCCAAATCTTGATGGGCGTTTTCAAAGCTTCCTCATCTCCCTATAGGTAAGTCTTTTTCGTACATATTCAAGGGAAGAGTACCTGCATTATGTTTCGTAGTGCACTGTCTTACTGTTCGTTGCCACACGGCCTTACCATGTTTTTGGGCCCATTCCCGCATTAGGGTTTGATCCGCTTGAGACATTTCCTTCGGAGGCATTGGGGACATTTTCGGAATGTCTTGGAGGGAGATGCTGTTCTCAGGTACTGGATAGTACGAGTGTCGGTGGGTAAAGTAATAGGCTGACCATTGAGAGCGATTCGTGCATTGTGTCACCGAAATCCCTGGCGTACTCAAGAACTGTATAAGAAGGATGTTAAGATGACTTACAGCATTTTGAGACTCCACTTGCAAAGTTAAGCAGACTTCTGGCTCAATTTTGTAGGTAGGGTTGACCTCTGCTACTGACGAAGGGCTAACGCTCGAAACGTCAGCTTTTTTATTCGTTACGGTGGCCAATTTACAATTTCAACTTAGTTGATATAACCAAATTACGTTTAACCTTAGTTTGTCGAGCCCCTTCTCCACAAGATGCACAAACTTTGCCGTTTTTTAAATTCTACTGTGCCTTGTGGCCCATTCGTTACTTTGTTTGAATTTCGAATTTCCTGCACACCCGAAACTGTGGATTTGATTTAGGCAGAAACATCTTTCACCATCTTGTGGGTCTCCTCGATTGCGTGCTTTTTAGTCGGTCTGTTTTTAAGGTGTACAGAAAAGGCACCGTAGAGTTTTCCAAGATTTTCCAAAAACTGTAATTGTCCCATGGCCAGTGACCGTCGTCACCAGGTTAACTGTGCCTTATTTGGGCATCCGTCAGGAAAATATTGTCGCCCTCGGTGCATAAGCCCATCAGCTGACCAATGGCTGCACAGCTATCAGAACCGTTCTTGTTTCCTTCATCTCCGGTACCAGCAGTGACTGTAAGAGTGCCGTTTCTGTCAAGGTGCATTACTTGACGCCTTGTCTGGTCGGTGAAAGCTATTTTCCCGTCTGAAAGTGGGGCAACTGTCTGTATGCCGGAACTTGCTTGCCCTACATTAGCCAGTCATAGCGTACTCTGTCACCTCCTGATTTGCCATTTTGACTTTGGTGATTCCTTTTGTTGTGTGCTAAAAGAAGATATCCATCAGTAGATAAGCACATGCTTCGAGCCTTATCACAAAGCGGTGTGTAGTAATCACAAAACTTGGTGACTGTTCCGCTCAAAAATGACCATCCGATCAAACTTCTCCTTATGAATAGCTTGCGTAGCTGCTGATCCCCTGGACTCGCAAAGAAAGAAAGAGACAAGAATCTTGACGTTTACGGTCGCCGCTGAGGACAGAATTTCGAATTCGTTTTCCCTGCTGCAGCGATAAACAGCAAGAGCAGATCTCAAAGGTCACAGACTGTTACGAAACCGGCTGCGCAAGCCTGTCAGAGATGATGACTTGTCAAGTTCTGATCTTTGACTGTGACGGATATTCCATTGACGCCAACGGGCACACGTTTCAGACCGTTTGGAATCAGTTATTGTTGGAAAAACCTCAGGAAAATGAAATTTCACGACCTAAAACAAATGATTCACGAATCACGCATACCTCAGGCGATAAATCACGCGTCACATGCATTCAGGTATTCATAAGTCACGTTTATTTTTAAGTAACTTTCACGCGTCACGTACAAAGTTTGGCACTCATCACGGCACCTAGTAAAACAGGGACTGTTTGTTTTCAACTAGAAAGATTTTGTAGTTGATTTTTCAGTTTGGCGTTTTAAGTCAAACACTACATAACCGTAACTTCCACACTTCTTAAAGTTCGGACCACCTCAGCGAATCTTTTCAAAACATAACCAGTATTATTTAAAACTAGATAATTGGATAATGCAATTCGAGACTTTTCATTGGCTTAGCCATTATGGTATGTCAGCCAATATACCATAATCTACAAATATGGCAAGCGTACGTGTCAGCTTAAAATTAAAAGGGAGCTAAAAATTTAATAATTTAATTTAACATTTTGATAAAACAATTATTCCACTCGCACTAATTGGATATGAGATGATTATAGCCAACGAGGCGCGTAGCGCCTCGTTGGCTATCTAACATCTCATATCCAACGCGTGCTCATGGAATAATTGTTAAATATTTTAGTCTTCTACAATCGTTTCATATGGTCGACCAAATCAGTCGATTGCAAAATATTCAGAAAAAAACTATAACGATAACTATCAAGATAACTATAACGATAACTATAACGATAACTATAACGATAACTATAACGATAACTATAACGATAACTATAACGATAACTATAACGATGAGGCCGTTGGGCCACCTCATTGACGTAACTAAAGCCTGGTTCTTTAAGGTTGCCATCTTGACCGAGAATAAAAACGCCACAACCGCAACCGCCCGCTCCACCGAAATTAACATTCCTTTCCCAATCCTAGCAGAGGGGACCCAGTAACAGTCGACCCACCAATCGCTCAAATTCGCCATTTAGAGCAACAGAAACGACAATACACAGCAAGTGAGGTAGGTTTACATTTATTTTGAGATTTAACTGAGACATTTCATGATATAAGTTTACGATAATAAGACTCTTAGATATTCTCCCATACATTCCTTTATATTTCGAATAAACAACCAGACTTGTCGCTTGTCTGGGCCCCCTGTGATCCTAGCCAGTCACATTGTACATTCCAAATTATGGAAAGTTGACCTTGACCGCAAGGTAAACTGATATGTTCCCAATTTGTATGAAACACTGAGAAAGCTTTCTGACCTCTAATAAATGTAAGATTCATAGCAGCAAAAGTAAGGTTTATCAAATTTTAGAATACTCCATGCACTGCATAATCTTAGCGAAGGAAATCAAGGAAGGTAACGGTTACTCTGGGCCGTCTAGGGTCACGTTTCTGTCGTGTACGGTTACTCAAGCGTCACGTTTTAGTCGCTTGTAGTTTTTTGTCAGCACAGTCTATTTCACAACTGTCATTTTCCACTCAAATAAAACAATGGTAAAGGAATGTTGTTTTTGATTGAAACCACCTGCTGGTGGGCAAAGACAACATCAGTATTTAAATGAAACTGTCTATTTTGTGTGAAATAATTTGGATGAAAAGTAAGAGTAAAAAAGTAAGATAAAATACTACTAAAAGTAAGATAAAATGTAGCTCGCCCTATTTAGCGTTCATTTTACCAATCCATGTTTTACTAATCCATGTTTTACTAATCCATGTTTTACTAATCTAGTCCGCGTTTTACTAATCCAGTCCAGTCCTTGTTTTACAAATCCAGTCCAGTCCTGTTTTACTAGATGCCGCTCATCACGCGTCACGCATAAACCCTTTGCCACCCTCCTCAATAGGTGGTGGCAGATTTACGGTAAAAATTTCGGCTGACGGTTAACTTCTTTCCCTTACGTTTGAGAGAAAATTTTTTTCGATTATTTTTCTTTGACGACTAATGGTTATATAGCTGAAATTTTAGAAAATGAAATAATCCGTATTAGAATAATAAATCCCTGATTCAATGGTTTAACACACTGTAAGAAAGGAAATTTTGCTCATTGTTCATGCACGATGCAGCTCGCAAATGTCAACGCATATTATATGTTTAACACTTGCACAAGTATATAGGTTGCACGGTACAACTTCTGAAAATACGCGTGATATTCATCCTCAGAAGTTCAAACGAAAAACAATTTGGATCGTTCAACGCGCCTATTTTCCTTTCCTCGCTTTTCGTCCGTACTTTTGCCCCGTCTTTCAGTGCAGTACCCTGGCGTTATTCTGCGCTTTCCACTACTCTGATATAGTAAAATGGCCGGTGAAGTGGCGGAAGAACAAAATTTAGTAAAACCACTGTCAGTTTAATACTGAATCTCATATATCTCAGTTTTATACTGAAGCTCATAATTTAAAACTTTTACAAAATAATTGCTGTATATAAGTCCTGTGAGACTTATATCTTATTTTACCTTGCGGTTGTGATAACTCGCAGTGATTTTTAACGATTACAAAAGTCTTCTTTATGGGTTGGTTCCTGCCCGACTACAAGTTGTTTTTGTTCGAAAACGTAAGACGAAATCGATTTCGTCTGATCTGTTTCTGAGGTCTAATACAGAAAGGCAAAGACTGATATCTTTGTATGGCTTACAAGGAATAGCTTTTGTGCCCTTTTTCCGGTAATTACCTTCTACTCTGTGAGAGAATAAGTGATGAAAATCTTACGTACACGGCAAACGCGAAACAGGTTACGTTCACGTAGAAACGGCAAAGCGTAACCGGCAAACGTGACAAAATGGCGGGAACAACAAGGTCACGTGGTCACTCTTGCCGTTCACTTTTACGGAAACGCTATGCTAATTAAATCTCTCTAATATATCAGCGTCAGATAACTATGGAGCCTACTAGACAATAGCCTTCGAGCAGGACCCAATCCTTAGTACTTCGACGCGAGCGTTTCTTTTCACCCGGAAAGGTATGAGGCCATGATAAACATTAGCCGGCGAAACAGCAGCAACGGGTCTAGCATTGATGATTAGTGCCAGACCCTCGGAAAACCTCTCCCCGACTCGCTTTAAATCTTCCCGCTGGCGGAAATACGCGAGTCCTGCACAAGACCCTGCTCGCAGACCAACTGGACAGTCATAGCCTTTTTGCTGAATCACAAGAGAACATTGTTATGAAAAATCACTGTAATTAGCAGCTTCAGAATACTTTAAAGCGCTGGTAAATCCTCAGTTTTATGGCTGCTGGCGCATCAAAAAAGAATCAATCTATATTACCATCAACACCTTTGGCAGCACCATCATCGTCATCATTATCAACATCAACATCGTCATCGTCATCTCTGTCATTGTCACATGCAAAAAAATACATGTACCGCGCACGAACCACGTTCAGATGGCATTTTATGGCCTGTCATGTCACTTTTTAGACAAATGATCTCGTAACTTGGTTACACCAAACAATATCAGATGTAGAATTGGTAGAACCACAAGAAGGAAAACTACCAGAAGAATACCAAAGGTCAACTGGAAATCATTATAATTCAAGGCGGAGTAGATGAAAGGTTCACCATTATTATTGGTGCCATCAGCCAACCAGTAAATCACTGAGAAAAGAATATATATGGCCAAATATAAAAGAGGGTAGACCCAGTGGAGGAGACGGATTGGAATCTTGCTCAGAAAAGTGTCAATCACCATGAAAACGGTGTTCAGCGCGTGCTTTGTGATGTTATTGGCGTCGACAGGATCGCCTTCGAACAGAACAGTCCAGTATCCAGCGGTGATCCACACTCCTCCTGTTGCTGATAGAACGTAAAGGAACCAGAATATTTTATGATGCCACCGCAAGGCATCAACCTCGCGGCCGTCGACGTCATCGCTGTTGTTACCAGGCCCCATTTCCAGGTCTTCAGTTGGTCCAACTTGACCACTTCTCATGCGTGCAGGTTTCTTTAGCATCTTTCGGTCTTGATGGAGGGCGATACAAGAGAGCGTGGTTCCAAAGACAAAGTAAATGTTCAAGATAAGGAAGGTCCAGTTTGTTAGGAAAATGAAAAGTTTTGCGCGGAACTCGTAAATGTTGTAACCAAGCCATCCAAGGTTGTAGGCTGTGACTATCAAGCGATACGCCACGAACACAGGCAAGGAGAGCCACTGAAAGAAAAAAGAGTGAAAGGGCTAAAATTTACCGGTGAACACAGCGTTTAAATATTTGCCCGTGCGCAAGTGGTTGTTACGGCCTGGTGGCTTAATCGCAGCCTGTCCGAATCAAGTTATATTTAAAGGAGTTATATAAAACTACACACGCACACACCAAATAAATTATGGTCATTTTAAAACATGAAACTTATTTCGATAAAGCTCAAAACGAAATGGAAAATCGACAGGATACACGTACCAGCAATTGACTTAGCCAAGTGTTCGTGAAGTCTCGATTTTTCCTAATTTCGTTTCATTTCGCGGATTTCTGTGAACTATGTATTCAATTCTTTTTTTTTTTAAATTGCGCTCATTCTATGCGACAGCAACCGTTTCTTATCTTTTCCTTTAGAAAATTGGTGGCAAAATGGGACAGCTCTGTCCAGAATTCCACTGGCACATGCTCGATGTTTGATCAACTGACACCAAAATATCAAAACGAAGGTTTTTTTTCAGAACGTTACAGTTTTGAAGTAACCATTCATGTAACACGTCATGGTCTGTGCGTCTTGAAAACTCGAGCATGCTCCCTTTAGCCCCGTGTGCTTAGACCTAAAAAAATATCCGTGTTAGGGTACAAGCCGGTCCTTACAAGCCGACGGCCTCATGTATGGCAAGAAAGGAAAGGAAGAAAACGAAAGAGCGATGCTTTCGGTCATGATGCACGGTCATCGCTACAGTTCATACGTACATCTTGACATCGAACTAAATATTTTCTCTACCGGCCCCCACTAGGTTAACATTTACATAAAGTTTATTGTACATAATTTTGTTTTTAGTAGAGGGAGTAAGTTTCTAAAGAAACTGTGGTACTGCGTCAGCGGGAGTAACAAGGTAATTTGGTTTTATCAACTGGGTTGATAATGTAAATTGGCCACCTTAAAGAGTTTCACAGCCGGACGTTTCGAGCGTTAGCTCTTCGTCCGAGCGAATGGAGGAATTATGGGTGGTGTGTGTTTATATGAAGAAATTGAAGCGACTAGAACAAACTAGTAGAACAAATTACCTAAATGTAAGGAAAGGCCATAGATTGCCATACGATGCTTTGCTATTTCATTTTCCGACACTATCTTTCAGTTGAGTCAATTATATAACCGAAGGGTTACTAAATGAATTATCTAAACCTGACACGGTGGTGTGGTTTGTAAAAGCTTTACAGTTGTTTTGATGTTGCTATCTGTTGCTATGAGCCAACCTCACGAAAACGCTTGTTCAGTATTTAATCTAAACGCACCATGTATTTACGCAACCACAGCCAATATTTCTTACATTGAGGTTAAGAAGACCATATTTTCTGCCATTCCAGGGTCGATTTAAGTAGTATTTATTTCAATGCATTTCAATAAAAGCGAGGTAATTGTTAAAGAAAGTGAATCGAGGAAGAAATCATTTGATCTCGAGCGAAACCGAATTCACAAAGAAAAATATTGTGATCAACTCTTAAACTGTCCGCAACTTGAAATTTCTAACCATTCGTCGGCGTGTTCAACAAAATTTAATTCGTATGCTGGGTGATCAGAAACAATGTAAAAAACACTCGCTAAGAGTTTTTCTCTCGTATAGTGATTTTCAATTTGCATTTTGCCTAAGTGTTTGATTTGATGCTCACAAACCGTAACATGCTGCAGTTTTCGAAAACCCTGCTTTGGAGTTGATCAAACTTTTGATAAAACCATATACATGCTGGTGTAAATCTTGAAAATTTAAACAATGAGACATTAAAAGATATTATATAAAACAGCAATCGTTAAGACTGAACATCTTCAAAATTGCAACAATATGCAAAGGGTAGTAGACCTTCTACAAAAGACCAAGTTACTAAGATCTGTACATGACAGGGCGCGATAGTCAAAATCAGTTTAGCTATCAATAGTTGAATAATATTGCAGAAAGTGTAGTTGGCATTCGGTCCACTTCTCTCCTAGAAATTCCTTCAGCACGAAGTTTTTTTTTTTACCAAGATGCACAAAATTCAAGCAGCCAGGATAAGATGTACTTTACAACTTACAAAACTTACCCGAGACTCGCAAAAATCTCGATAGAAAGGATGCCAGAATTTGAAATTTCTCAAGCGAAACTCCTCTCCACACATTTTTTAAGTTCAATTCCCTCAGTTTGGCAATCGGCTGTGGTCAGTACAGATCAACAAGGAAAAACTTGCCTCGACGAGACGTTCGATACTGGTAAACGTTTGTTATTTGTGTGGGTGGGTGGATTTACATTGCAAAATTCAGCCGCAGCCGGACATTACGCACCGTGATGCATCAAGTGACGTAGTTTTGCCAAGCGTATTACAACACAAATTTTGTTACGTGATAACCTATGAGACCCCCCGCACAGCCTCAGACAAACATTGCGACCACCTTAAGGAAATGTATGAGCGATAGCTGTAAAATTTAAAAAAAAAAACAAGGAAAATTTCGTCAAAAAATTACTTAGCATTCTAAAAGGAAGCGGCATGGTTGGTCCCAAACACTATTGTTGGGGTGAGTGTAAGACAGACTCAAGATATGCAGATAAATGGCCAAAATCACTCAAAGAGTGAAAGGAATCGGGGAAGAAAGTATTCATTCCTTTCCCAAAACCTTCGCGAGACGTGGCAAAGTGCAAGCGTTGGCTAGTGGCTTGTTCGCGTGAATTTTTTCACGGAGAAAAACATAGCAAGAAACACTTAAGTATGATGCACGATCCTCGCTGTAGAGAGCGCTACTTATGCAATAGCGAAAATCAGACCTGAAAAAAATCAGGCCTGTACGGGATTCGAACCACTGACCTCTGCGATACTAGTGCAGCGCTCTACCAATTGAGCTAACAAGCCAACTGGGAGCAGGCCGTTAAGTTGATTCGTAATAAACCCGTGATGACAAATCGGATATGATGAATATATGAAGTTCATATATTTTGAGCTGCGGTTATAGATACGTATGATGCATGACCCTCGCAGTAGAGAGCGCTATTTATGCAATAGCGAAAATCAGACCTGAAAAAAATCAGGCCTGTACAGGATTCGAACCACTGACCTCTGCGATACTAGTCAGTGCAGCGCTCTCCAATTGAGCTAACAAGCCAACTGGGAGCAGGCCGTTAAGTTGTGCTCTTCACTGGCCCGGCGAATAAGGTCCAACTGCCGAATTTCCCGATCCACTGAAGGTAAATCTAAGACCAGCGCAAGTAAGTTGAGCACATGCTCCTATAAGAAAAGCATCGACAGAAAGAGAAAATCCAGCGTCAAAGAAACAGAAATCAGTATTCAATGACAACTGAAGTTCGTTACGACGCGGTCAGCCTGTACACTAACAAAATTAGGCCCAACGGCTAGCCCCACGATATGAATGATTAGTCAGAAAAAAATACCAACCCACAAGTGGAGGGAATATTTTGCTAAATGGCTTGCTGTTTTGCTAAAACATTGGCCACAGTTGACAGTAGCCATTTAGCAAATTATTCACGCCACGTGTGGGTTGGTATTTATTTCTGACTGAGTCATTCATATCGTGGGGCTACCCATTGGGCCTAATTTTTCTAGTGTCCAGGCTGACCGCGTCGTAACGAACTTTTGACTGCACGGGTTTTGACGGACGCGCATTCTAACGGCGTCGAAAAGGCGATCAATTTGAGATTTTCGCTGGACTGGTTGCTCGACAACCCAACTTTAGTGGGATTTGTTTTGATGAACTTGAAGGGCAACTATTTGGCTTTCGTGCTGCCAAGTTTCGATTCAAGGGGAAGTATTTAAGTGTGTTTTTCTAGCGATTTTGGCGAGCGTGCGTGAGACAGGTTTCCTACCTTCCCCTTTACTTGGTAGTGCTAGGACGTTGAGCTGAAACACAGCAAAACGGCCTCAAATCGCGACAAGAACAGCACCTTCTACTCTGTATGAAGGTAAGACTTTATTTCTTTTATCATTTCACACAACTTTATATTTATGGAGCTCAAAAGCAAGTTCACCTAAACCACTATACAAACTCTATAATAATCCACTGTGAAAGAGCCTGTGACAGAGCCTGTGACAGAGCCTGTGACAGAGCCTGTGACAGAGCCTGTGACAGAGCCTGGGCCGCCAGTGGTCACACAACTCGTGACGCATTGAAATGATCTTCGGCTTTTCCTCGAGACGTGAGCTTGGGACGCCTGTGATTACAATCACGTAGTTTATGACATCAGTGCTGTAGAGCGTTTATATTATGGAACGTCACATGCAGGCGTTAAGATCATAACACAGTACCACACCAAAGTTCTCCTTCGCATCTTGATTGTAAACCTGTTACAATTGGTTATTTTGATCTTTCAGTCGCTGTTCGGAACGGCCGAATGGTTCAGACCAGCTAATTCCGCTACTATAAAAGTTTGTGAAAAAATCGCATTAATACGGGCAATTTATGCCATTTTTTTTTGTTCAGTTTATTGACCGTTCACATGTTCAAATCTTGCATATATTAATTTACGAATGGATGACGTCTGTGACTGGTAAAAACGAGAAAAATAAAAAGACAACGCTTGAAAGGAAATAAATCCATCAAAGCCACAACATGCGTGAAATAAATTAAAACGAACCCTGCTGTGTTTGGGGCATTACAATCTAGCTAAACTTGATGAAATGAAAACAGATCGAGGTACGTGAATAGGAGGCCTTTTTGTCCTGAAGTAGGATATCAAGGCGTCAAGAGTAAATGAGGGCAAGTGAAGTGCATGTAACAATGGTTCAGCCTTTGGGATTGTGATAAGAACACTCGGCTGTGCCCTGTATGCCACTTTAGGATCGTGTAACAAAACCTGTGTGCCCCAAAATCATCATTTAATAAACTTTGCTCAACGTGCATCATTTTGGAGTCAGAGTGAACGGTGGGGGCTGAGGAAGGGGAAAGGTCACTCCCCCATTCCAGCCCCTCTCCTTTTTCTTTGACCGTCACTCACCTCCTTGGTAAAAATACTTTTCTTTCCCCAGCCCTCCGCTGCTATTAAAATCAAAGATGGCAGCCAAGAAAATGCCGAGCAGTCGCTTGCCTAAATTACGCATGCTCTGCAGGCTAACTGTTGCCTTACTAAGATCTTGATGGTTTGCCATTCATGTTTGATCTAGAACGTCTGATGGCAACAACTGAACCTCAAAGACCCCAATAGTGCAGAGAAGGTTTTTAAATATTTTCTTTTATTACCTCACTCTTAAACATAAATGTTGCCGAGAAAATCTCTTAAGTAACATGACAGTTTCAAACTAATGCTCCACCAAAATATTTTACAGCCTGTAAATTCATTCAAACTCAGATAAAACTGTACAAGTGAAGAGACCCATTCTGTGCAATAATTCCACTTTTTATCTCTTAAGTAGCTATCAGATATGACCACGTCTATTGACTGACCCGTAATTTTGAGTATATATATATAAGTGCGTCAATGTCGTCATCGTTACTATGACACAGTTCGATAATACTGAGTTGCGGCGAGTCGCATGCCCCACCTGATGAAGAGGACATTGGGGTCTATTAGATACCGCACAATTGTTTAAAAAATCATCCTAAACCAGAAAAATCACCACAACATGCGATCGAAATCGAAAACCGCATGCAAAACCGACAAATTTTTACATCCCAGTTATCAAATTCCTTATCGATCCGATACAGTGGTGACAAGTAGAGCATACAGGTTTCGCAGCTACTGATTCAAGAAACCGGACTAAGAAAAACAAATGGAAACACTGCAGAAAACCTCATCGGATGTCAAATCCAAAATTCCATTAGTATTTTGAAGAAAACTGAAATGCTAAGAAAAGGAAAATCCGCAAACGGCAATGAACACAAAAAACGAAAATTCGAGTATTTTTCTGCTTCTGCATAAAAAGCGAAAAACCGATTCAAAAAAATTGCCAAAACTGCATAAACGGAAAATCCCAATGGATCCCTTTCATTATGTTACAAACTTTTTATACAAATAATCTCGTAGCTTGGTTAAACTGAACAAGATCAGATGCAATATTGGCAGAACCACGAGAAGAAAAACAACCAGAAGAATTGCGGTGGTCTTCTTGAAATCATCGTAATTCAAGGCAGAGTAGATGTAAGGTTTACCCCCATTATTGGTTCCACCAGCCAGCCAATAGAACACCGAGAAAAGAATGTAGACGGCGAAATACAACAAAGCGTACACCCAGTGAAAAAGGCGGATTGGAATCGAGCTCAGAGAAGTGTCAATCACCATGAAAACGGAGTTCAGCGCATGCTTTGTGATGTTGTTAGCGTCGACAGGGTCGTCTTCGAACAGAACGGTCCAATATCCAGCGGTGATCCATACTCCTCCTGTTGCTGAAATGACGTAAATGACCCAGAGAACTTTATGATGCAACCGCAGATTATCAACCTCGCGGGCGTCGGTGCGATCGGAGTCGTCACCAGTCCCAATCTCTATGTACTCATCTGGTCCATCCTGGCCGCTTGCTTTTGGAAGAGCTTCGTTCCGCTTCTTTTTATCTTTGTAAAGAGCGATACAGGATAGAGTGGTTGCGTAGACAAAGTAGATATTCAAGATAAGGAAAGTCCAATTTGTTAGGTAAATAAATAGCTTGGCTCTGAAGAGGTAAATGTTGTAGAACAGCCATCCAAGATTGTAGGCAGTGACTATCACACGATATGTCACAAAAACAGGTAGGGACAGCCACTGATAAGAAGGAAACAAAACATGCAGAGAGAACGCAACATGATTAACCACTCAACTCCCACAACTGATTTACATGTAACTTCTCCCTATAATATCCATTCATTAACTAGCAAACAGGTAATGAGAAGACTAAAAGCTTATCAGGTAGAAGTTATCTTCATCTAACACCAAATTCTCGTAACTAACTCATAAAAGAAATGTGTAGTAGCAAATGGGGAGAATTAACTATCAGATCTTGGGAGTTACAGGGTAAACTTTTATCATTCGTTATCGATGCAACTAAAGGGCAGAGATGTTGGCTTTTTCGGGATGCGAGAGACGAAGGTTGGAATCTTAGTGCTTGACCTTGGGATATTTTTCCTTTTTTCTCAAGTTTTTTTTTTCGGTCAGCGAGGCAACTTAGGATGTAAATGAGAACTCTTTTAGTCGGATAATTAATGAGTTTTCTGGCTGTTCCTTCTATTCTGAGATAAAAAATCTTAGTGTAAAGCTGTAGTAGCGAAGGACACTTTGGTCGGTAAAAGGATTAAACTCGGTCAAAATTAAACCCTTTTTTGCGTTGGAAGTTCATGAAATTACTTTTCATTGGCATCTACAGTCGGGTAACATTTGAGTCTACCCTCCCTCATTACAATTGTATCTTCAAAATGTTTCTATGCAGCTAACCGTTGATATCGGGAGAAAATCACGAAAAGGAGCTGCTTAAAATAGCTAGGAATTTAGAAACCAATATTTCGATAAACTGATAAAAAATTTTCACCTTCACGTATATATGAGGCAAATATGAAAATCCTTTCCGATATACATTCTGCTAAGAAAGCAAAAAACTCAGTCGAAATCACCTTAGGCATTTTGCAAAATCTTTTTGATCTCACTAAGGAATTTCGACGACAAATCTTACGATGATTTATCACTGGAATTTGGTTAGTTCGATATAGCGTTGTAGGTATAAGAACAAGCTATTAGGTGGCGCTGAAATTTAACATCAATAATATTTAGGGTGTTTTGCATAACGTTATGCTCGTTAATTTGCCCGTCTTTCGAAATTTTTAGAAGACAACTCCGTCACGTTGACAACGAAGTGCCTTAAGAAATCAGTTTTGTATTTAGAGGTGTTGGGTTGATTGGTAAAGATACGGAAGGCTTAAATCAAACTCAGGAAAAAGCCAGGTTTTAGGCGTTTATTTGTTAGCTGCTCTTTTTCCCGGCCCAAACGTTTGCGATATGAAAATTAAGGGCAGAAAATGGGGTATGAACAATAAGAGAATATAAACTGCCTATATTATTTTACTATGGATGGTTTACAGCGTACTCAAGCGTTCATGTATTTGAATAAAATTGAAAACGCAAATTTTGTTAACAAAACGAAGTTGCGAGGTTTATGTCCCTTCTGTCTCCTTGACTTCCCTAAAAAAATTGTATATAGGTTGGGCGATGAAAAACGAATTATTATGGAGATGGCCTTTTAACTAAACATCATGAAAACAAATAATGGATCAGTTTAGGAAAGATTGGCAAAATTGTGATAAATAAAAATGATTTCCCAAAATTTTGCAAAGTGATGAACCTTTCAGTTTCATACAGTTTGTATTTTTTAGTAATGGTGCCAAATGATTGAGTCTGTTAGGTTTTGGAACTAGTTAAGTGGGCTTTCTCAACAAATTTGCCAAAATTATTCAAAGTGAAGAACTTTTCGGTTTTGTACACTCTGTGTTTTCTTTAATAATAGTACCAAAGGATTGAATCTGTTGAGTTTAGGAACTAGTAAATTAGGCTTTCTTGCGATATTTTTAATCCAGTTTCTTCATGATCATATTTTGCATGATGCGCTCTGTTAATTATCCAACTGCCAAGATTATTGTGTACTTTCAACTTCTAATCCAACTTACCCTAGATTCCGCGAAGTCACGTTGAATCGGATGCCAAAATTTGAAATTTCTCAGCCGAAACTCGTCTCCACACATTTTCGAAGCTGTTTGAATCTAGTCGGCGATCGTAACTCACAGACTAACAGTTAACAAGCGTTTACGCGATGATTGGCACCTTTAATGTAAATATTTGTTCAGTTGTGTGGTGTATACACAAGAAATGTTAATAAGCAAAGGCTTCTCAAAGTCACGCACGTAGCATCCGAGTTATTTTGTATGACGTAATCAGATGTGTCAAGTCACGTCAAAGGGTGGGTCAGAAGACATCCGGTGAGTCTGAGCACATCCGGTCGAAATGAATGGGCATGCGAAGCCCCTGGGCGTAGCTCAACGCGAAACAAAGCCAAACTAGCCCCAAATGACTATTGTTAGACTGCAGAATCTCTACTCTGGCATACATGTTGTTTAAGAACTCCATAGGATACCACGTAAATGTTGTCTGTGAGACTAAGTGTAAATTTTTTACAAACGGGCGAGGGGGGGGGGTAGCTCCCATCCCACCCCCTCCTCTACTGACGGTGTTGTTAGTGCGTATCTATTTCCGTAGGGCTAATAGAATTTAATTGTACCGCTTGTAAGAGCAATTGCTCAATCGAAATTAGAACGACATAATCTTCCTTCACATTTGAGAGCAAAACTAGCTTTTCATTTTTTTAGATGTCCGACAAAACCGATCGCCTGCGCTCATTCCAGCAGATCTTTTCGTTTTTAACATATGCTCGATTCACTTACTTTGACACCGCGAATGTTTGGGAAAATATCGCAAATTTGCGGTTGATCTTATGATGTATTTTGTACAGGACCACAATGACGTTAACCCGCATTTGTGCAATCACTCAAGCGCAAAACGATAAACATTTGGCGTCGATGTGAATGGAACGTGCAAACATGGATAATTTAACAGTACCGGAAACCTAGAAAATCATCCTAAGGCGAGAAAAGCGAGGAAAAAGAAGACAAATCGAGCGTAATGAAAAAATGTAGAATGGCTGGATTTTAATCTAAATTATGGCACGTGAGAATATTGGCCGATGTGTGTCCAAGTATACTATTCATTCATATATGAATGCAAGTATAAGATAAATATAAGCGCAAAGAGGTCACGTTCGAAAGCGTCTACAGGAAAGAAGCCATTCTCGAAGAAACCTCGCATCGACTTCCTAACGCGTGGGCATGGAAAACTCTAAGGCCACTCTTTGTCCAAGAGTTACAGGTTGGTTTCGCATGACTTCACTTCAGATACAATGAAATATATGAAGTTCATATATTTCTACTGCGAGGATCGTGCATCATACGTGACTTCACTTCGTTTGTCATGCGCAGTAGAGAAGAGCCCTAAGGTTGAGATTAACTTATGCCACAGCGGGAGTATGAAAGCGCATGCTCTGTGCATTTGGCATGACTGAGGCTCTTGTGGGAGGACTTTCTAACACTCCAGATCCCTTGTATAGTGGATTTACTCTATAATTTTTATATTGCCAATCTTGTTTTCATTTCAAGTTCCCGATCTTGGCCGCAAGAGTAAGAAATTAAATGTGGAAAATAATTTTGTCGAGAGTAAATATTCCGAAGGAACATACTTAGTATGCACGGGATCTATTTCTCATAACTTAACGCGATTCGCTGGCTAAGTAAGAAATGATGACGATACATGAGGATTGATAGCTTAGCACTGAAGTGTCACCTTTAAGCATGAGCTGGTGGCCGGCGTTCTCACTTAGATCAGAACTAGTCCCCAACTGTAAAGTTATTCTGTGAGCGCTATTTCCGAATGAAAGATCAACTTAACACGAGTGTCAGAGAAAGCTAGTTTTACTTCTAACATGTGTTTGATAAAGCGGTGCCAAAGTAAATACTGCAAGGAAGTCAATCAATGTTAACTTTGTGGGGGTGGGTAGTTGGTTCGGGGGAGGGGGGGAGGGGGAAATAATTTATTAAACCTGATGATACAACTGTTAAACCTGTTGAAAGAAAAGCAAATTAAAAAGGAAAGAGACAAAACTCCCGTGAATAGACGTCGAAGTTGCAATTTGTTGATAATGACAGACGCAGAACTGAGAGACTTTCAAGGAAAGATAACTGAATTTATTCCAGAACAGTGTATTCTTTGCTACAGTAGTATATAATGAAAAGAATAACACTTTCCTATCGTGAACAACTAAGGCTTGAATATACATGTATATTTACAAGATAACGATTTTATATGTGGTTAATAGTGGGATAGTATTTGCAGCTGCGTAAAACAGTTTTCACCATGGATGTCTACTTTGGCATTCCACCTGTTGTTACACGTAGACCTAACTAATTTCTCAAGACGAGAAATGCAAGAAGAGATTTACTCTTTGTGCTGTGTTCCTCGGAGGCAGTCTCTCAGCTTGACGAGACCAAACAAAATCATTTGTAAAACTGGCAGGACAAGGAGAAGAAAAAAAGCCACTAGGCAGCCAGTGGACGCTTCGAAGTTGTTGTAATCAAGAAGTTTGTAGATGTAAGGCTGCCCTTGAATGTTAGTGCCACCCAACTGCCAATAAACTACAGTAAAGGCCAGGTATACGACGACATACACCAGGGCGTATATAAAATGGAAGAGGCGTACTGGGATTGAGCTAAGGAATGTGTCAATCACCATAAACACAGAATTGAGGGCGTGTTTGGTTATATTGTTCAGGTCGACTGGCTCATCTTCCTCAAACAACACTGTCCAGTACCCCACGGTCACTAATAAACCTGCGTTGGCACTGATGATGTACAGAAGCCAAAAAAATTTGTGGTGAAAGCACAGAGCATCTTTCTCGTGGGTTACTTCAGTCGTGGCTTCATCACTTTCGATTTTGTCGTCACCAGATCTCATCTCGATCCCGACACTCGACTCTGGTTTGTCGTTGGTACTGGGGTGAGTTTCACGGCTATCCCGGTATTCATTGCAGAAAGCGCAAAAGGAGAGCGTTGTTGCTTGCAGGAAAAACAGGTTGAGTATCAGGTAAGTCCAGTTTGTCAGGAAAATAAACAGCTTGGCCCGGTAGAGGTAAATGTTGTAGAGGAGCCAGGCGAAATTGTAACCAAAGACAATCACACGGTAGGCAAGGAAAAGAGGCAAGGACAGCCACTGAAAAAAAAAAAAAAAAAAGAATAAATAAACAAAGGGGCTATACAGAGTTGTCAGTAACAGATATCAAGATATGACGAGAGGCCGTTTCGCAATGCATTACTGTGATATAGGGGCGTAATCTGAGGGAGGGGGGAGGGTGGGGAGACTGGAGTTGGAGCGGGCCAACAGCTTTAACGTTATCATTGTTTGATCGAAACCCTGTGAAATCCTTGGCTGATCAAAATTATTTTCCAGAATGTTTAGTCATTGAGATGGTTCATGAAGGGTTTATGTTTGAAAACATCATCATTTCAGTCTTTTGAGACTTCCCAAAATGTTCTGACACTTCTCTTTTTTTGCATTCCACCGTCCAGTTCAAGTCCAATAGTTCCTTGAAGTCTGAATCGAATGAGTGGGAATTTCAACACAGTACCTGTTTTGTTTCAATCACTTCTTCATTTTTTTCCTTTTTTTTTCCATCTTAATTTGTTTCTGCTTATTTAGTGCCGTTACTATGAGATGACCACCAGGGGCGGACGTAGGGGGAGGGTGCAGGGGATGCGCGCACCCCCCCCCCCTGAGATGACCTGCGGTTTTCTCAGCAGTTCATGTTATGTTATTGCCTTGGCAAAAGCCTTCTTCCTATTCGCTATTACAATTTTTTTAAGTCCAGTCACCAGTCAGTTACACCATTCTTTAGTGGTGCACCCCCTCCTCAAAAAAAAAATCCTGGATCCGCCCCTGACTATGAAACGCTCGAACTAAAATTTTTGACTAATGAGTCTTCTGAAGGGTAATGAACTCGAAATACACGCAGCTCTCATACAAGCAGGTAGATACCTCAACCTATGCCACCTGCAAACATCAGTTTTCCTTACAAGCAACCTAGAGCTTGCTCATCGCGGTACAAGCCCAGAACTCGTTAGCCATTTTTTTTTTTTTTACGTACCCACTACGCCCTTTCAAATCAAATCTTTAAACTGTATTTTTTTTCTTTTGAATGATTTCATAAACTTTACTATACGGTGTCGCTATTTGTTGCCTTTTGTGGATGAAAGATTGTAAATAATGTTTTTTTTTACTGGTCATTTGACGATGGTGAACGGTGATAGCAAATCTGAATTCAACATTAGATCAGTCATGCATCCAAATAAGTTAGCACACACTTATGATCCAGTATCGTATCAAGTTACTCACTCTTGCTCGAGCACTAGATCTTGCATAATTGTTTAGTTACCAATTATCAAGGTGACCACAGATCAACATTGAACTCACCCGGGAATGTGTAAAATCTTGTAGGACCGGGTGCCATAATTTAAAGTTTCGCAAACGAAATTCTTCTCGACACATCTTTGAAGGTGGAAGTTCACGCAGCTGAATCTATAAAGATCTTACTCTCTTGCCTCCAAATTGTTGCAAGGGAAGTCATAAATATGACAATGATAAAATAGATGGGGTTTATTAAATATGTATAATGTTTTTTAACTATTTTGCTGTCCATTCAAGCATAACCATAGCAACTAAGCGAGAGCCACGCAAAATTTGAAAATAGAAAAAAAAAACCTGTAAACACAAGAGCAAAATATTTGTAAAATTGTGAAAAAAAAAAAAACTAATAATAATAATAATATTAATCATAAAAAGTGCGAAAAGCCCTCTCTGGCCTGGGGCCTGTTTCTCGAAAGTCCCTGTAACTTAACGGGCACGAAGCCATGTTTTACAAGCAAAATTTAAAGGATAGGAAAGCAGGTTCTGGCACCCAAACCAGTCCTTTTTGTCTCTTTAGCCGATAGTTTTATTGTATCATTTTCAAAACTTTCGAAATCCCCATCTTGAATGAAGACGGAACAGCTTTACGGGCCCGGTTACCGGGACTTTCAAGAAACAGGCCCCAGGCTCCTAAGCGGTAATTCATCCGCGCGATCCTGGAGAGGAACAAAATCCAAGATGGTGGGTTCTACACGTGTGTTTTGTTTCTGTGTTTACGTTCACGTATTTTGCTGTTTTAACCGAACTAACTGAGTTCATTTTATTCTTTATAAACAGCTAAGAAGACAGGCAAGGCTTAGGAGAGAGTACCTTTATCGGAAGTCCACTGAGGACAAGGAACGAGTCACTTATGAAAGGAAGAAGAAATTGAAGACTGCTTTGGAAGGTTAGCGAAGAAAGCTTTTACTCCACGAGAAATGCACCATGCATTAGTTCGATTGAATATGGAGTTAAGTCATAATGATGATAGAAATGACAGCTTACTTTCTTGTCTTAACGTTTATTGAAACCGCTGTCTTTGCTGTGCACGGACTCCAGAGTGTAGCAGAACTCGACGAAATCTCGCGCATACGTGCTAGGGCGATGAGAAAGGAACAAATTGCGCGTGTTTCTGCGATACTGGTGCAGTGCTCTACTAACTGAGCTAACAAGCCAACTAGGAGGTGGGAGCCATTATGTTGATTCGTATTAAACCAGCTGAAGTGTTAACAATTAATTTGAATAAATTATATGAAAATCATATATGTATACTGCGGTTTCATGAAATGCATGAAAGAGATCCCATGTTGATATGTATGTGTTCAGTAATACATGAAGATCACAGATCTTGTCAAAATGAGGTGAGAACAAAAATGTGACTTGCATGGTGCAGCATTACAGCCTTAGATATCATGTCTAGTAAAAAAAATCAACACCTATTTGCATGCCTGTGGTCTTGCACACATCAACATTTTGTATTCGTTCTGGTAGTGTCAAGTATAGTCCCTTTTACAGTTGGGTGCTTGGTTGCCAAGCTTTTCAACAGGAATGAGGTTTAGGGTGACCTTGTTATAATACAAAAGTTGCTGCTTTGGAGACTGGCGAGGGATCAAAGACAAGTTGCTAGCATACTTTCAACAGATATGTCAAAGGCATTTGATTCGTTGCACCAACCACAACTTCTATGCAAGCTTAAAGTGTACGGTCTCCAGGAAAGTGCCATTCAACTCTTAAACAGCTATTTAAAAGAACAGAACTATCAAGTAAAGATCGGCCATCATGTTCGAGCCGATTTGTGAGTCATGGCTGTCCTCAGGGTTCTGCGTTAGGCCCGCTATTATAGAATGTTTTCCAGAATGATCTATCCTACTGCCTTACAGCGAACTTGTCTATGTATGCAGATGACCACCAGATTTACCACGCAGGTGCAGATCAGGCAGCTATCATATCCCATTTCAAGGATAGTGCCAACTTAGCAACAACGTGGTACAACTCTAACTTACATGTACTGGCGGGAAACCTTAAGAAGTATCAAGTTTTGAACTTGAGCTTCACTCAAAATGACAGTAACATCTGTATGAACAATGTTGAAATCGAAGCTAAAGATAATATTAAACTTCTAGGAGTGGAGTTAGATTCCAAACTAAATTTCTCTGAGCATATATTCTATCTGCAAAAAAGTGTCCCCAAATTAGTAAGGGATTTTTCCCCAGCTAGATGGCTCTTGACACTTTTAATAAAGTTTTACTAGTACTACTTACAACTACTGCTTTTCAAATGTAAATTACTTAGCTATCATGCTAACTAGATACTGGTCTCTATCACAACAAGGTCACCTTCAGCCTCACTTCAAATCAAAGGCTTGGCTACTAAGTAAAAAACTGTAAAATGGCCTAACGTGATGTTGAGTTGGGAAGAATGTCAAATCATTCTTCATTTATGTTCCAGAGGGAAAGCCAATTCCAACTGAATTGAGGAAGGATGAAGCTGCCCTAAGAAAGGCCATCGAATTTGATGATGAGAAACATGAAGGTAAGAATGTCACTGTTGCTATGATATAGATATCCTATTGGACATTTTGTTTTTAAGTATCGCTGAGTCTTTTTTCTGGGTTGTGCGATATTTTGATGAGCCCTTAGGGCAAGTCAAAATACAAATAGCAAGTAAAAAATACTCGGCGATATGACATACCAAAACATCTAATAAGTTATTTATTATCCAACACACTAAATTGTTTTTCCAGTGCAGGTGAATTTCACAGATATTTATTTATGGGGAGTATGTGACAGAAGTATGTGAAGCGAAATGGAATTGGCATGTTGTCATGTTGCTGTTTCTATTTCCTTTAATAATAAATGATGAAATTTCATTGTCATCTAAATGCTTTTCTTTGTTTGATTTTATCTAATAAACAGTATTAAATATTTGCTAGCCATTCTGAATCTTCGTTGTTCAAAAAATGATTGAAATTGTCCACCATTTATTTTGTAATTTCCATCCAATTTGTCACTTGTGCGATGCAATAAGAATTTATATTCATGTCCATTTAAAAGTGTAAACAGTCTATTCAAAATGAGTTTTCACTTTGATAGCTAGCATTGTTTTAACCTTAAAGCATGGATAACTATATCAACTGGATCCAGTGGATTGCACAGTACATTTTGTTAACAATTATCTATTGGATAGTGATCACTCCATTGGTCCACCCTGTTGACAACCAGGTCCTGTCAAGGAAAGGAGAGTATAGTGATCAGTTGTTTACTTGTTTATGTTTAGAGACTGGCTCTCACCAGGATGATGAGTATGCCTGGGCAGGAGTTAGAGATCCCAAGATAATGATAACAACATCCCACAGTCCAAGCTCAAGGCTAAAACAGTTTGCGAAGGTAATACTGATGGTGTCAATGAATATACACATGCAGAGGTTTCAATAACTTTTTGCAAGAGTGGCTGCCTATTACAAGTGCAATTATAATAAGCTGTGTCGTAAGGTGAAATTCGGAGATAAAAGTCTACTTGCTGTCTAATCAGACAGCAGTGAGAGTTCTTACAGGCAGCAGAAGACTGCTGGGAGGGTCTCATTAGGTGTAAAATTGACAAATTCTTTTAACTGATAATTGTCAAATTGGATAACCATGAAAAAATTTCTGGTGACAACTATGGAATGGTATTAACTGTAAAATGACCAAAATTTTTACCATTAGACATATCACCCATCACCCTCTTGAGACGCTCTGCCAGCAACCAGCTTTTACTGAAAACCTCTGCATCTGTATCCATTGACTCCTAGTAGTTGACCCTTTGGCCCTTTGACCTTTTGATCTCGCATCTAATTTCTCCTTGAATATCACCCCCGAACCACATAGGTCATGAGAATAAGGGAAATGATCACCAACTGTAAAGAAAAAATTCTTTGTCAGTTCCTTAAGAAATGTGTAGCAAACATTAAGGAGAGTACATGATACAATGCATATTGATGTTTTTTTTTCAATAAAATCAAGAGATTGAAAGTAAGGATTAATAATTTATATCTATTTTGCTAGATCTTAAGTCATTTGGAACGGTTATCAATGATGGATGGGCTTTTTAAACAAAACAAGTCCATTCAGAATTGTCTATTTTTTGGCGTGTTACAACCACCAATTCAAAGAAAACAGAATATCTACCAAAATAATTTTACCTATTTTTTGTAATCACTCTAAGCAACACATGGCAATCTGCGGTCTTTCCTTACACTTAGGTAGCACGGAAAGCCGTAAAACTCTTGAACAAAAGCTCATCTTTCAAACTGACAACCTAAATCCCACAGGGATCAATGAGCACTTTTCATTCCATTAATTTTTTCATTTTTTTCTCGTTGCCATGTTCCCACCAATAACGTAGCTCCATATTCTGCCTTTAAAAGCACACACAACCCACAATTCTTCTATTTGCTCCGACGAAGGGCTACTGCTCGAAACGTCAGCTTTTGTAATCGTTGTGGTGGCTAATTTACCACTTCAACTTTGTTGATATATCCAAATTATTTCATTACCCCCACCAATGCATCCCCAAACAGTTTCTTTAGAAACTATCAGTCTGTATTCAAAATAATTTTCAGTTACTTATTGAGAAAAGGTGCTTTACAGAGGCAAATAATAAATTAAACTTCATGTGTATTTCAGCAACAAAAACAAGTTTTAATTGTAGTGGGCCTTTTAACAGAGAGGGCCCATCCAATTGACCCATTGCAGCATGCCTAATAAGTAAGATATACTGTTGATAACATTTTCATGCCGAAATTGGTGTCAGATATTCCTTAACACCTGTTTCTTTTACCTCACAGGAACTACGCTTGATATTTCCTAACAGCCAGCGTTTGAATCGTGGTAACTATGTGATAAGTCAACTGATTCAAGCTTGTAGAGCTAATGAGGTTACAGACTTGATATTGGTTCATGAACACAGAGGAGAACCAGGTATGTCTTACACATTTTTCTTTTTAATGCAAAATGTGAACAAATATTTTTTTATGCAGGACCTGTCAAAGTGGAAATGAACATTTTTTCATTTCTGTGTCCTCATTTCTATAGAGGTGATTGTTGAATGAAATGTTTGTGGTAATGCTTCATTTTACAGTATTCTTTGAGTATTGCCAGTTTTGACAATTCTTCAGCCAGCTCTGCAGCTATTTGCTATTTAATTGCAAACTAGAATTTATTCACCCCCATTTACACAGTCATGTATACGTTGACGCTTCAATGAAGTTTTAAACCCTTTCTCTCTCCCAAGATGTCATTTGCAATTCTCATTGCTGTCTTTCATACAATTCTCATTATGTGAGTTGGTATTGGATTAACTAATAGTTCCCAAGTTGATATTGTCTGTCTGATATTGTATTTACGTCATAAATAAAGGAGAAATTCTGTCTTGGTTACTCATGGTTACTCCACTGCCTCCTGGTTAGCTCAATGGATAGAGCGCTGGACTGTTGTGTGGGAGGTTGAGGGTTTGAGCCCCAGCCGGACCAACACTCAGGGTTTTAAAATAATTGTGAAGAATTTGCTGCCATTCTATAACATCAAGAAATGGTTAGATATTCTAGTCTTCCTGGATAGGGATGAATAAATGGAGGTCCCGTCTCCTGCAGGGTTAGGGGTAGGAGACGTTAATTTCCCACACACGAGATTACTGTGATGGATGTCCTCCCCTGGGGTGGGATGGGTGGGATATTAAGCGCACTTAATTTGGAGCCTTGCTCTGTTGTGCGACCCTCACCAGACTCTGGTGAAAGTGAATAAGTAAATCATGATAGTTAAGGGTTAAAAGACTATCAAAATCCTATGGCATGGTTCTTTTTAAGAGCTCAGAGCTGGTTAATTCTACTGCCTTTTCATAACAAAAGTTATCGTACCAGTTATTTCACCAAAAAATATTTACTGAACCAATTATTTCATGAATGTTATTTCATTCTGATGCAAAACTCCATTGCATTCAATTTGAATTCTTGCTGATTTTCTGCAAATCAATTTAGTGAGAGTACCTGTGAGGTGATATTGCTTTGAAAATAAATGATGTGTTCCAAACATTTTGCTTGGTTTGATTTTTTCATCCCATGATGACAATATCTACCACTTTCATTTAAATTCCTATCACAGCCAAACAAAAAATAACAACAGTCTATGTGGCCCTCACAGCCTCGGCACGGGGGTCAGGTACGAAAGTTATCTGTTATCTATTATTTTTTCACCTCCTATGAAAAATTAGAAACACGAGCAAGAGCTTTGCATTGGTGTGGCTCTAGCTGATGCCCTTACTGGTTCTCTCAGCTATTTTGCTGGATAATGTGTTAATGTTGTGTCGAGAATTTGGATGTTAAATGATCTTACACTACATTCCTTTGCAGATGGTCTGGTTGTTTGCCATCTTCCATTTGGCCCAACGGCTTACTTCACATTATCAAATACAGTCATGAGACACGACATTCCTAAAATTGGTACGATGTCAGAAGCGTACCCACACTTGATTTTTCATAACTTCAATTCAAAACTTGGAGAAAGGGTAAGTTTGGGAATAATCTGGCGTTCTAGCTCTTGAAAAATTTGAAATTTGTAACTCTCTGTGATGTGATTTATAACATCCTGGGACATTTTTAAGTAACTTTTTTTTAGCCAGACATTGGTTTTAGAATCGTTCAAAAATATTCATTTTCTGTCCTTCGTCACAATTTACGAAGTAGATGAGACAAAATGGTTTGACACCCGGCAGGTTCCAACCGCTGACCTGTTTCTAGTAACAGCCTTGAGTTATGTAATAATCTTGTCCTGTTTTCATGGATTTTCTCACTTTTCTCATGACATCTCTGTACAAAAAAATGTATAATTATGTTTTATTAGTATCCAACTGCACTCCTTAGAGTACAAATAACGCCATGGACAAGTACAAATATCACGCGGTATTTGTACTCCAGATAACTGGTTAGACAGGTTTTCTCGCATTGCGCAAGCGAAGAATTGGACTGAAGTTACATAAAAAAAAAAAAAATGACGCACAATTTGAATTATGTTCCTGACGACGAAGAGTCGGGATGGCTGGCAAATATAGATTCAAGTTTATTAGATGAATCAAACGAAGAAAAACAGCCGGACGACCGGAAAATTTGTTCATTTGTTGAAGAAAATAGAAACAGCAACACGACAACGCGCCAATCCCGTTCCACTTCGCATACGTCTGTCACGCACTCCCCGTAAATAAATATCCGCGAAATTCGCCCGCACAGAAGTAGTAGTTTGGCGTGTTGGATAATAAAAAACTTATTAGACGTTTTGTTCTGTAGAATCACTGAGTATTTGTATTCGTTATTTGACGAGCCCGTAGGGCTCGTCAAAATACGGCACAACTCGTAAAAATACCTCAGCGATACTGCACAACAAAACGTCTAATGAGATATATATATCTATACTGTGTAGTGACAATTGTTATAATTTTTATGCTAATTTCTTTGAAGTAACATGAACCTGCATGTGTTATGATCCAGCAATACGGCATGCCCTACCGAAGGCACAAATACACCTAGCGATTAAGATTATAAAAGGCTGTGGCATTTTTATTAAGCTCTTTTTTTCTTAAAATAGGTCAAAAATATTCTAAAGTATTTGTATCCAGTTCCTAAAGATGAGAGCAGAAGAGTGATCACATTTGCAAACCAAGAGGACTACATTTCATTCAGGTGTTTCCTTTTCTACTACCTTTTTCTCTTTTTGTGTTTTGTGTAGTGTTTGCGCGTGTGTGGTACCTGGCCCTTTACATACATACATATGTTAATTGACCACTCCCCATGGGGGCTTCTCAGGGCCAATTCCCACCCAGCAACCACCCCAGGAGAGGACATCCATCACACCGTAATCTAGTGCGTGGACGTCTCCTACCCCTAATCCTGCAGGTGACGGGACCTCCATTTATTCGTCCCTATCCGAGAAGACTAGAGTATCTAACCATTTCTTGATGTTATAGAAAGGTAGCATATTCTTCTCACTTGTTTTAAGACCTTGAGTGTTGGTCCGGCCCGGATTCGAACCCTCGACCTCCCGCACAACAGTCCAGCGCTCTAACCATTGAGCTAACTGGGAGGCGGCTCCTTTGATACAACCATTTGTTAATAAACATTTGTTACGTATGATGCACTTGTATCTAAACATTTGTTAATAAACTAAGTAAGGCTGCCCTATCTTTTTAGCTCTAAATGGTTATTATGAGAAGCCTTCACTCTTTCCATTTTTTGTATCATGTAAATTAATGTAGGGTACAAATGATGTTGTTGTTGTTGTTGTTGTGAGTGATCGAGTGTCGTAAAACCAAAACCAAAGTTATCATTACAGCCAATTAGAAGAAAGGAAAATACCTCTAAGAGCCAATGAGAACTCAACACGAAAACAACCAAACTGCCAAAAGCGCGGAAAAACGCGGGTTACTAAGTCGCGATTGGTTTTAGTTTTGAATCTGATTGGCTGAGAAAGCAGCGCAAGTTTTTTGACGAATCACATTGCGAAGTTAAGTAAATCGAAAGCTATTCCTGATTGCTTTCGAATCTCAGTGTAAAATTGGCCGGTAGGAGTGCAATGTCAGGGTATTCCAAGATTTACACCTCTCTTTTCTTCTTCCAGACACCACACATACAAGAAAGTCGATGGGCAGGTTGAGTTATCAGAAGTAGGGCCAAGATTTGAAATGAAAGGTACTGTTTGAATTTTTTGTCTATAACTCAGTGCAATTATCAGAGTCAAACGGCAGGGCTCTAAGCGGGGCTCTTTGCAAACTCGCAATTTGGCGGACTTAAATCAAAAATTGGTCACCAGATGGGTCCATGTTGCCCACTCGGGTAGCCAATCAGAAGACAGGATTCGCTTCATCTCGCCCTAGCGCTTTACCAGCTATATTTTTAAGCTAGTGGCCGGCGGTCTACCGCCGTCTGTACGGCCGCTGACCTGGCTCTCGTGGTTGGGTTTCACCATACGGCCTCTTTACCGACCACAGCTGCCTACTTAACTATCGTCAGCCGGTTATGAAAAAAGCTTTGAATTCCCTAGCATTGACCCAAACGTTGGTTAAGGGAGAGCTGAGACCTTGTTTCCTTCTCCCTTTCAGTTTACGAGATAAAACTTGGAACAGTGGATCAGAATGAAGCTGATGTGGAGTGGAGACTGCGACCCTACATGAACACATCTAAGAAAAGAAAAGCGCTAAGTAGCTAGACAGACATGATGTTAGGTAATTAGAGAAGTTATGAAACCCCAAATTAAATTGTTGATTTGCGTGTACATTGGATCATTTCTAGTGAATAATGTTTTACTACTGTTTTAATGCTCTATACTTTGTGCAACACGCTACTTTGCCTACACAAGTGACAGCGTCACCTAAATTTAAAGACAACCTCTTATCATGACTTCCTCTCAGGTTGGCAAAACGTTGTTCACAAGTCCTTTCCAGGCAGATGATCAGACCACATATGATCGCCTGTTACTCCTTTATTCAAATAGCATGGAGAATATCACGTTTTTGAGTAGTTGCTTAGGTGATTATAGAAATTCGCGCGCTCTGATTGGTCGTAGATTGCGTTAGATATCGCTGTGATCATCTCGCGTGAGGTAATTACAGCAGAGGCGTTTTCATCACAAATGATGCAGGATTAATATCTTTGCAAACTTTTGTAGCCAATGTAGACCATTTCCAGTTTACATGCTGTTTACAGGATGTATATATCAAGATAGTGTTGACTGTTTGCCAAAAAAGGTGGAAGGTTTTCACCTAATTAGAACGCTGAAAATCCCCTCAACATACATAGAGCCATCTAGTACTTACAGCTAAGATTAGATGGCGCCCTATCCGGTCCAAAGGAAAAGGAAACTTGATGGTCATCCCTTGTGAACGGCAGAAAATGTTCCAATGCAAGGGTCGCATTTACTGCGAAGCTCTCCAACGAAGGCTTGGGTGACAATTTCGCTACTAATGGAGGAAGTGTGAGTTGCGTTGTTGAACCATTTGTAAAATAAGAAAAGGAGCCAATGAATCGTCCCTGAACCTAGAGATCTCGTTTGCCCGTAAGGGTAAACATGCATTAATGCAAAAGTTAACGTTCGTAGACTAACGAATGAAAATGTTTCCGTGAGGCTCAGCCACGCCTTTCAACTGGTTGGGGTTGTTTCGTCCGCATGGATCATGGGTGGGCCACGAACGCCCGGTGTAACCTTCAAAATAATAGTACAGTTTGCTGTTTAGGAATTTCGGTCCATAGCCTGACCCCACTTTTAAGACTGAAGGCGCAGGTGTCTGTTTGCAAGTGTCAGTCACATGTTTGATGATCTGACAATTGATGTCACCACCTTGCCAATCAACCAAGTTGCCATTTCCCGGATGACACACCAGCCAGTTGTTAATGTTGCTCTTGATGAGGACCTGCTTGCCGAGTTGTTTCCAGAGTGAGAAGTTCATGGCATTGAAATCTCTTTCGTGTAATGGAGGAACAGAAGAGATAAGAACATCAGCTTCAGCTGTTACATTCCAGTTGGGTCTTGGAGTAATTGCATTTGAAGCATCATTAAAATGACTGTAGTTAGTGAAGGAATAGCTCCATGCTAGTGTCCAGCCTCCTCCATCAGTATCCATATCACAGTAAGCCTTGAAAGAATTGGCCTGGGATCCACCATCAGGATCAATCCAATAAACACCTGAGGGAGGAGGGGGAGTCTGGCTGATGAGGGACTTGCATGAGGGAACTGCTGATAATTGAGTGTTACCTAGAATCACGGAGAAAATAAGCTTACTGTTGTTTTAATGGAAAAAAGACTTCATGTCTAGGAAAAGAGACTTCCGTTTTCCCCCACTGCTTGAGAAAATTTTAGTGGAGTCGACTTTTCTAAGCCAGCCATACGATTTTCACATTCTTTCCCTTCGCGTTCTCTTGCCTTTGATTGATTCTTTTGTTTCAATGCACCTTTTTTCGTTTCCCATTATTCTAGCATGCACGCTCTTTTGTATTGTTTTTGCGAGGTTTCTAGTTGTGAAGTAAGAATCCAGTGATGCCATACTGGCTGGCAGCGAAATGTTGCTTCACATGCAACCCTATGAAATACTTAGGAGTACCGCTTTTTAGAGATTAGTATCAGCGTCCCATTACCATTCCATCCAACAGCAATTTTCGTTTTATGTTGCAAAAAAAAAAAAAAGAGGCTGTCATGCAAGGAGTCCATCAGCCAGTGTTCTGCAACTTTGGTGTTCTCGAAGATTGAAAACAGTGTGGAATTTGAGGCTTTTGAGTTGATACGGAGAGTATTATACCTACCCAATAAAACTCCAGGCAGATTGATCTGTGAAGATTAAATCAAAGAAAATGCGAGGTAAACATGAATTAACAAACAGAATTAACGGCGGTGAACGTCACTCTGGCGTCAAATAAAGAATGTTAAAAAAAATCAGAGAAAAAGAGGCAAAAGTTTTTACACTTCTGACACAGTATCAATTCGCTTCACGGCTCTACGGGTTTTCATAAAAAATATTGTTTTTAGTTGACTAGGCATTTTGCTTTAACTTCAACCACACACCTGTTAGAAAGTATAAAATCAGATATTTCAAGTTTACAAACCTTTTCAAGGTAGAAAACGTCATCTTGCTGTGGTTTTTTTCGGCCTTTTCTCTGTGTGCTGTATCAAGTAGCAAACAAGTTCTTTGCTTTAACCAAAACGTGGCAACTTTACAAGCTTCGTGCCTCGCACACAAGTGAGAACAAGACAGAATAGAGCCTGTTTTTCCAGACCAAAGCGTTTTCTTAACTGATAATGTCGTGCCATCTTTGATTTGAAAGTGCAAGCCAAACAATTCTGCTTTTACCTTTGTCGTAAAGGTCAAGAGGAATAGAAATATGGCCGCCATGATCTGTCAAAGAAAGAGTAACAGCAAGAATCGATGTATCTTTGTAATTCCGCTTTGTGAATTCATAGGTTATTTCTTTTTAATTGCCTTTTCTTTCGCAGAGTTTTCTTTCCTTTGCATCTGTTTTCAAAGTAAACATCGGCGTGTCTAGAGTCGATAAGGTAATTGCGAATGTTATAGTTAACGAGTGCATGTAGTCTTGTAATTCCTCGAATTATAAATGATGTGACAAGCTACAGCATAAATAATGCACTTAAAAAAAAAAGATAAAAAAAAGGATAAAGGTCGTAGCTAGATTAGAGAACTAACAATTCCAACCTTAAAACCTCAAAGTTTTTCCCTTTTTTCCTTTTCTTTTAGTATTTTCGAGTGAGGCTGAGGTGTTTCCCGTTTTTACAGCAAAAATCTCGTTAAACGTAGTTACTTCTATTGTAACTGTAGAAAATACTTCTTTCTCTCTGCAAGACTTGTTTTTGCGTTGAGTCTAATGTTGTGTTTTGACAACTTTTTTCCGCGGCGGGGTTCTTGTCAAACAGAGTTTGTTTCTTTTTTACACATCGTCTCTCAATTAGGAGAAAGTGTTATGGGGTATAAGATACATGCTTAGACCATAGGCTGTGAAAAATTGCTCAAATTATACCTCCATTCTGAATCAGACAGGATCGTAAGCAGTTCTGTGGGCTGCAGAGGTATATTCCTTCCTTTTTTTAAAATGTTTCAATGTAACTCTGATTCAGCTGCAGATCACTCCCTTGCAGGACTTTGCATATAGCTGCTAAATTATAAACTGAAATTGCGCCTTGCACGGAAATCCTCGCGCAGTTAAACTAATTTAATTATGAAACACTAATTTGATACATAAAGAAATCCTCATGACAAACTGAGAATTGTTTTTGAATAACTTCGTAAACAAACGATCTTTATTTCACTTTTCAGTCTTTGTTCTTGATGGTCCCATGGTAACGCTCACTCAGTAAATGAAACAAATTCAATCCTATTAAATCATTTCTAATCACCCGCGGATGCCATGCAAAATAATCCAGACTTGTTTTTTGTACACACTCGGGCCTGATGTTAATAATGAAGAAAAAATACAAAACGAAACGAAACGAAAGCAACAGCTTAACGAATGAAAATGTTCCCATGAGACTCAGCGACACCGTTCAATCGATTGCAATCGTTTTGTTCACATGGGTTATGAGTATGCCCTGAACGCCACAGTGGCGGATCCAGGGGAAGGGTCAGGGGGGTCCGGACCCCCCCTATCAAACCTGACGCCTACAACTTTGAGACAGGATCGTATATCACTTTTAACTGGCTGGTTTTTTTTTTGATGAATCCAAATAAACGGTAAGCGGCCAAGAAATTATAACGTGCAACCGCGACTGGTGGGAGGTGGTGTGGGGGAGAAGTAATTTGTCTCAGAGTCTAACAGTCCTTTCTGAACCAAAGTTTGGACCCCCCTCCAATCAAAAATTCCTGGATCCGCCAGGTACGCCTTCCGTAATCATCAAAGTAACCGTGACTGTTCCTGTTCGCTGATTTGCGAGCTTATTTGTTAGTGTTTCTCCGTTTGGTAAAAATAACTTGATTTTCACCATGTGTCAAATATTGATAATTTTTTTTATGACTACTGCCTCCTATGGGGGCGGAGCCATAACGTTGTCCTGTAGACTGAGTGTAACAATAGAATACGAAGAGCCTCTTCGCCCACAGCCAAGTTTTCCGAGTTTTACCCGATATTCCTTGCTCTCGGCTTTTGTCTGTCTCGCGACATCTTCGGTCGTTCGACGCCTGCTGACGATTTCTCCAGATCGCTTCGAATATTACTCGGAATTAGTAGGTGATCATACGGTTTCCCGATGTTGCGTATTGTTTGTTTCGGACTACTTTACAAAAAGACAAACATCTCAAAATTATTTCAGGATGGCGTTTGAAAAAAACAAAGCTTTACCTCGATGCTTGCTGACGATTTCTCCGGATCGCTTCGAGTGTTACTCGGAATTAGTACGTGATCATATGGTTTCCCGATGTTACGTATTGTTTTCTTCGGGTACTTTACAAAAAGACAAACATCTCAAAATTATTTCAGGATGGCGTTTGAAAAAAACAAAGCTTTACCTCGCAGAAATGTCTTAAAAGGTGTGATCGGCGCATCGAGCAAACTTAAAGCGAAAATTTCGTTTCGTAAGCAAGAGTATTTTACCGTTCGAATCAGCGAATTATGCTCAGTAAGTCCGGGAGTATCATTTTTTCGGTTCTTGCCGTGACAACACAAACTGAGATGATAAACATCTCAAAATAATTTCAGCGAGGCGTCTCCGGCATAAAATTAAAAAAAAAAAAACTTTTCCTCTCGGAAATATCTAAATAGGTTTGATCTGCACAATGT